CCTTCTGATATTTAAAATATGAACGTTTATAAATTTGTTTAGATATCAATGAATGTATTCAAAGCAATCCTCCATGTTCATGGAGCAATGGAGTATGTATGAATACAAATGGCAGTTTTCTTTGTTCATGTAATATGGGATGGACTTTGGGTGAAGATAACGCTAGTTGTGTTGGTAAGTTTTTAGTATTTTTGTTTATATATTTCTTTATATACATTGATGTGTGTTATACAATTTATTTTTTTAAGATGTAAATGAATGTGCAAGTAGCAGTCCTCCTTGTTCTTTATTCAACGGAGTATGTAATAACACATATGGCAGCTATTTTTGTTCTTGTAACAAAGGATGGATGTTGGCTCAAGATAATGCTACGTGTGTTGGTAAGCGCTTTGATTGTGAGGTTTAATAGTATTGAATTCTATTTGAGTCAAATAATCAATTGAGTTTTATAAAGTTTAGTTTTTTTAATCAATGATCAACTTGTGAAGACTTTTTTTCAGAAAATATGCATAAAAATATTCTGTTAAAGTATAAAGTTTTAATAGTATTTAAAGTTACGCTGTCTTTTTTTATTCCATTAGAAAACTGATAATCTGAAATTTAATATTGAAATGATGAACACAATGCTGTTTTTTTCTTGAATATTAAACATAAGATAGTGTTTTTGTATTATGATATATGCATAGTTACCACCAAAATGTTTTAATTTATCAAATAATCTTTCGAATAGTTTGAGTGTTAAAGGTAATTCTTTTTTTATTCATTGAATCTTACAAGTTTGTATAAAACCTTACATTGAATCTACTCTTTACGATTCTAATTTAAATTTAGCTGTTTCGTTTTTGAATCTCAATGTTGATAAATATTAGCCTTTGATTTGCAAAGATTTCAATAGCTGTATGCTTGGCCAGTGCATTTACTTTTGTATCAGTTTACATATTTGTTGTGAAAGTTTGCATCCACTGACTTTTCTTTTATTTTCTTTCAATGAGCACTGCTTTTGTTTATTTGTTTTCTCTTCGGCAGTAAAGCTCAAAACCCTTGTCTTTCTAAATTGCCCAGCCTGTGTGACTCCAAAAAAAGTTTCCAAATCACTTACCTTTACTGCTTGATTTATACATTGTCTTTGAGCCTAGTTTAGTTTGACTAAATTGATGCAAAAGGTTTCTTTTTCCTTTTTTCTTTTTCTTTTTGTAGGACAACAAAAGATTTCTATTGAAAATAAATGCTTTTTTATCATTGCAAAAAATTGATGCAAAAGGGTAATTTCTTACACCAAGCTCCCAGAGGTGTTCACTGGATTTTGAGATGTTTATGTTTTGACACTTACAGGCATTGTGCAAACTCCAAACTTTTGTATGCTCGTGCTTATGTCAAATGAGAATGTTTTGCAAAGAATTGTGGTGATTGGAGTGGTGATTGGAGCACAAAAAAATTGGAGAACAAAAATACGCTAATTTTTGCTCCCACCCAGTCCTTAATGTGGGAGCAACGAGTTTATAAAATATTTTTTTCTATTGTTTATTATTTTTTAAATTTATTATGTTTTTATCTATTATTATATTATTTTTTTTAAAATTGATATTCATCTTCAAGTTTCAAATTTCATGCAACAATCTCTTATTTCGTGAAAATTATGACCATATAAAGTTTTAAAACACTTCAATTTGAGTTGGCTGTAAAGTTTGCATGTTCATAAAAGCTAAACACTAAGAGATTGTTGCATGAAATTTGTTGATGAATACAAATTTAGATGAAATACTAAAGAAAATATTTTATAAACTTGTTGCTATCAACGTTAAGGGATAGGTAAGCCCAAAAATTGTGTTTTTTTTTTTTTTCCTCCAGGCTCCAATCACTGGAATTCTTTGCAAAACATTCTCATTTGACATAAGCATGAACATACAAAAGTTTAGAGTTTGCACAACGCGTGCAAGTGTCTAGTTTAAAACTCAAACATCTAAAAATCCAGTGTACACCTCTGAGCTCCATACTCTTTGATTGCTCAATTTTTTATTATATCTGATAATTTTTATTTTATCTGATATTTTAAAGACTTATGGTAAATCTTTTATTGTGTCAGAGACAATATATTTTATATATTTTCATTTTTCAATTGTTTTGTTTTTAAATTAACTCAACTAGATGCAAGCAGCCATTATTTAAGTTAGAAGTTGCATCAAGAAAACAGAGAGGAGAGTTAAAAAGCAAGAAAATGGCTGACAGACGACTTGAAAAATTATCATGATCTCCGAGTCAAGAAAACATAAAGATAAATGAGAAATTTAAAGTTGTTCCAAAACAAAACCTAGATGCATCGAGTTTTTTATTTGAGCATAAAGGAACAGTTACAGTAAAAGAATGCTTATTGAACAATGAATGTGTTTTGGATGGTGGATTATAGTTCACTTACGCAATGACCATAGTAGTATTGATAGAAAGAAAAAAAAAAAAGCACTACAATCTTGGAGTAGAAGCAGTAGAGTAGAAGCTCAAGCTTGGAGGATAAATTAGAACCTAGATTAGAAACATTTATAATTAGTTTTGAATAAATTTATATAAATGATAACATTTTTAATAATTATAGTTTAGTAAATTATAAAAAAGGATTCTTTATATTTATGCAATGTTTATATTATTTCATAGACTTTTATGGAATTATTTTAGATGTAAATGAGTGTATTGAAAACGTTACATCATGTTCCAATGGAGGTTGTATAACAGTAGACGAGAAACTTCGATGTCCAGGTAAAATAGAACGTACTTTTGCTCAAAATAATTTTAGTTGTGTTAGTGAAATGTGAAATTCATACATTTAGTTAATTTTAAATAAATAAAAATTAGAGTATATAAAAAATCATTTTGTAATGCATGGTTTGGGTTCTTCCATAAAGTATGTACGCACGTATGGGGGGAAGGTTCAACCCAAAAACATACAAATGCGTTCAAGGTGGAGGAGGTTATCTCTTGTCAAGTATGTAAGCTGTTTGACTCTCTCTACTGTCCTCTATTTCTCCTTAAAGTTGATATAAATCTTTTCGAAATTTAATGTTTAAAAAAGTTTTTGGTTGGCGATGATTTTGTAAGGAGTAAAGTGTATGTACACAGAAAAGGGGGGTTCGTTGAAAACATATTGTTGCATACAAGGCTAGGGTGTTCTGAAATAGTGGTTTTACTGCGTACATACTTTATGGGTGCCCCCTTTTATAAAAAGGATTGCATGAAGAAATATAATAATTTTTAATGCCAATGCTTTTACACGTGTGTGGATTGGTTGGTTTGCAATTATACCATTTTCTTATAAAAATATGACCTATTGTAAGCGTAAGAGGAATTTTTTTGCAATAAAGTATTTTTCTACTTTTAGTAAAGACGAATAATAAAGTCTTTCTTGTTTTTTGTTTCTACTAAAGTTGAAGTAACACGTTTTGATAAAAAGCAAAGGTTGTGATGGCCTTTTTAAACTCATTATTCTGAATAATTTTTTATTAGCTAAAGTTTTTTGTGCATATACTATAAAAGCATTAGTAGTAGTAGCATAAGCATTTATATTAGAAATACCATAAATAACATAAACCCCCTTATAATTAGCAATTTATTATACAATAAGTCTATATATATACGTATATATATTTGATACTACAGTGTACTTAGTGGCAAGTAACTCAATCCCGTTGACAAAGGGTGCTGTCATTGCTAATATACCAATACTAGAAAAAGAATACATAGTTTCGTTTGATGTTTATCTTGCGTCTTTTACTACTGACGTTCGTATTGTTGTTTATTTTACCATTGGTTTAAATCGTTCGAATAATGATATGATTCCAGCTCTCTTACTTTATCCAAATGGAAATATGGCTATCCCAGCTCCTGCTAATGGAAATTTTTTTACCTACCCAAATCCAATTGCATTAAATACATGGACAAATGTTAGGATAAGTCAAGTTCTAATTGGTACACAATATGTAAATTCAATCCGAATAAACGAGAACACAGTTTCTGATTATACTAATGAGCAAGCTCAAGATTTTTACAATGTGACAGTATATGCTTCAGATACTTGGTTTGAAGCTCAGGATGGTTTTATAAGAAACTTGTTCTTTATCAATGGAAAGGCTAGTAAGTTTTTTTTTATTGTTCGTCTTACTGATTAAAATAACTTTTGATTTTTAAAATGTTTTTATCTTTGATATTTACTTTTTATAATGTACTTTGTATTATTTTTATTGTATTGCTATTATTTTGTTTTATTTACCAATGCTTATATTAAATCGTTGTCTCTGTCTGTTTGTTTGTCTGTGAGCATCAAATCTTGCAATCAATTTTTGAGTCACTTCCTGATGATAGATTTTTTTCAAATTTTGCATACATACTCTTGCTTGGTGACAATACAATATTCAATAATTAGTTTTGTAATAAGTCAATTAATTTAGTTAAATTTAATTAAGCTAACTTTTTATATGGATAAAAGATTAACCTATTTTAAAATAAGTATATTGATTGTTTTCATACTTATATGCGCGTTTAGCATATTTGGATAAGGCATCGACTTTGTAAACGGAATGTCTGTGGTTCAATATTCCTGAACATTTTTGTATTTTTACACACGCATACAGCCGAATGTTAGTAAAATAAAACAGTAATATCAGAAAAAATTGATTGCAAAATTTGTGCTTTAATAACATATAAAAGCATTGTGTTTTTAAAATTCCTTTCAAATTTTACTTGTTGTATTACTATTGACTTGGTATTGATTTTAATGAAGAATTTCTTTAATATGCATGTCCATACATGTATCTTTAAAGTTCATCAAGAAAAATGAAAAAGGTGGTAAGCTGTCTACCAGTTAAATAATTGTTTAAATACCAGTGAATGAATGAGTTTGTTTTACCAATATTGTAAACGCTGGTTGTTGCTTAAAATACATTTTTATTCACAAAATGTTTGTTATATTATATATGTAAGCTTTGTAATTTGTTTTTGTTTTTTTTTTGTACGTTTTGTTATATTTTTTTAAAAAGGATATAAGTGTTACATAGAAACATTGAACATAACTATAAATTGATTTTATCTTGAAACTTTATATCAATTGTGTGAAAGTCACTACCAGAGATGTGTTCTGTTTTTCATGTTGGCTAATTGTAGTGTCATTTAAAATTATATTCATTGTTTGATAACTTTACGCTAATTGGTTTTTATGTGTGTTTGTGTATATATATATATATATATATATATATATATATATATATATATATATATATATATATATATATATATATATATATATATACATGTGTGTGTGTGTTTTATAGATAACTATGAATGCGATGTTCATCCACCTTGCTCTTGGAATAATGGAGTATGTACTAATTCAAATGGCAGCTATTATTGTTCCTGCACCACAGGATGGACATTAGGTCAAGATGGTATCAGCTGTATTGGTGAGTTTTTAAATTTGTGTCAAAGTGATGTTTACCATTACTGAAGACATGTCTGTTAAACAAAAACATCAAAAAAATCTATATTAGAATATAAAAGAGTTTTTTTTTTTTATTCTTTGATATGTTTTACTAATAATTTAGCAAAAGTCCAAAACTACTAGTTTTTCTTCCTTCTGATATTTAAAATATGAACGTTTATAAATTTGTTTAGATATCAATGAATGTATTCAAAGCAATCCTCCATGTTCATGGAGCAATGGAGTATGTATGAATACAAATGGCAGTTTTCTTTGTTCATGTAATATGGGATGGACTTTGGGTGAAGATAACGCTAGTTGTGTTGGTAAGTTTTTAGTATTTTTGTTTATATATTTCTTTATATACATTGATGTGTGTTATACAATTTATTTTTTTAAGATGTAAATGAATGTGCAAGTAGCAGTCCTCCTTGTTCTTTATTCAACGGAGTATGTAATAACACATATGGCAGCTATTTTTGTTCTTGTAACAAAGGATGGATGTTGGCTCAAGATAATGCTACGTGTGTTGGTAAGCGCTTTGATTGTGAGGTTTAATAGTATTGAATTCTATTTGAGTCAAATAATCAATTGAGTTTTATAAAGTTTAGTTTTTTTAATCAATGATCAACTTGTGAAGACTTTTTTTCAGAAAATATGCATAAAAATATTCTGTTAAAGTATAAAGTTTTAATAGTATTTAAAGTTACGCTGTCTTTTTTTATTCCATTAGAAAACTGATAATCTGAAATTTAATATTGAAATGATGAACACAATGCTGTTTTTTTCTTGAATATTAAACATAAGATAGTGTTTTTGTATTATGATATATGCATAGTTACCACCAAAATGTTTTAATTTATCAAATAATCTTTCGAATAGTTTGAGTGTTAAAGGTAATTCTTTTTTTATTCATTGAATCTTACAAGTTTGTATAAAACCTTACATTGAATCTACTCTTTACGATTCTAATTTAAATTTAGCTGTTTCGTTTTTGAATCTCAATGTTGATAAATATTAGCCTTTGATTTGCAAAGATTTCAATAGCTGTATGCTTGGCCAGTGCATTTACTTTTGTATCAGTTTACATATTTGTTGTGAAAGTTTGCATCCACTGACTTTTCTTTTATTTTCTTTCAATGAGCACTGCTTTTGTTTATTTGTTTTCTCTTCGGCAGTAAAGCTCAAAACCCTTGTCTTTCTAAATTGCCCAGCCTGTGTGACTCCAAAAAAAGTTTCCAAATCACTTACCTTTACTGCTTGATTTATACATTGTCTTTGAGCCTAGTTTAGTTTGACTAAATTGATGCAAAAGGTTTCTTTTTCCTTTTTTCTTTTTCTTTTTGTAGGACAACAAAAGATTTCTATTGAAAATAAATGCTTTTTTATCATTGCAAAAAATTGATGCAAAAGGGTAATTTCTTACACCAAGCTCCCAGAGGTGTTCACTGGATTTTGAGATGTTTATGTTTTGACACTTACAGGCATTGTGCAAACTCCAAACTTTTGTATGCTCGTGCTTATGTCAAATGAGAATGTTTTGCAAAGAATTGTGGTGATTGGAGTGGTGATTGGAGCACAAAAAAATTGGAGAACAAAAATACGCTAATTTTTGCTCCCACCCAGTCCTTAATGTGGGAGCAACGAGTTTATAAAATATTTTTTTCTATTGTTTATTATTTTTTAAATTTATTATGTTTTTATCTATTATTATATTATTTTTTTTAAAATTGATATTCATCTTCAAGTTTCAAATTTCATGCAACAATCTCTTATTTCGTGAAAATTATGACCATATAAAGTTTTAAAACACTTCAATTTGAGTTGGCTGTAAAGTTTGCATGTTCATAAAAGCTAAACACTAAGAGATTGTTGCATGAAATTTGTTGATGAATACAAATTTAGATGAAATACTAAAGAAAATATTTTATAAACTTGTTGCTATCAACGTTAAGGGATAGGTAAGCCCAAAAATTGTGTTTTTTTTTTTTTTCCTCCAGGCTCCAATCACTGGAATTCTTTGCAAAACATTCTCATTTGACATAAGCATGAACATACAAAAGTTTAGAGTTTGCACAACGCGTGCAAGTGTCTAGTTTAAAACTCAAACATCTAAAAATCCAGTGTACACCTCTGAGCTCCATACTCTTTGATTGCTCAATTTTTTATTATATCTGATAATTTTTATTTTATCTGATATTTTAAAGACTTATGGTAAATCTTTTATTGTGTCAGAGACAATATATTTTATATATTTTCATTTTTCAATTGTTTTGTTTTTAAATTAACTCAACTAGATGCAAGCAGCCATTATTTAAGTTAGAAGTTGCATCAAGAAAACAGAGAGGAGAGTTAAAAAGCAAGAAAATGGCTGACAGACGACTTGAAAAATTATCATGATCTCCGAGTCAAGAAAACATAAAGATAAATGAGAAATTTAAAGTTGTTCCAAAACAAAACCTAGATGCATCGAGTTTTTTATTTGAGCATAAAGGAACAGTTACAGTAAAAGAATGCTTATTGAACAATGAATGTGTTTTGGATGGTGGATTATAGTTCACTTACGCAATGACCATAGTAGTATTGATAGAAAGAAAAAAAAAAAAGCACTACAATCTTGGAGTAGAAGCAGTAGAGTAGAAGCTCAAGCTTGGAGGATAAATTAGAACCTAGATTAGAAACATTTATAATTAGTTTTGAATAAATTTATATAAATGATAACATTTTTAATAATTATAGTTTAGTAAATTATAAAAAAGGATTCTTTATATTTATGCAATGTTTATATTATTTCATAGACTTTTATGGAATTATTTTAGATGTAAATGAGTGTATTGAAAACGTTACATCATGTTCCAATGGAGGTTGTATAACAGTAGACGAGAAACTTCGATGTCCAGGTAAAATAGAACGTACTTTTGCTCAAAATAATTTTAGTTGTGTTAGTGAAATGTGAAATTCATACATTTAGTTAATTTTAAATAAATAAAAATTAGAGTATATAAAAAATCATTTTGTAATGCATGGTTTGGGTTCTTCCATAAAGTATGTACGCACGTATGGGGGGAAGGTTCAACCCAAAAACATACAAATGCGTTCAAGGTGGAGGAGGTTATCTCTTGTCAAGTATGTAAGCTGTTTGACTCTCTCTACTGTCCTCTATTTCTCCTTAAAGTTGATATAAATCTTTTCGAAATTTAATGTTTAAAAAAGTTTTTGGTTGGCGATGATTTTGTAAGGAGTAAAGTGTATGTACACAGAAAAGGGGGGTTCGTTGAAAACATATTGTTGCATACAAGGCTAGGGTGTTCTGAAATAGTGGTTTTACTGCGTACATACTTTATGGGTGCCCCCTTTTATAAAAAGGATTGCATGAAGAAATATAATAATTTTTAATGCCAATGCTTTTACACGTGTGTGGATTGGTTGGTTTGCAATTATACCATTTTCTTATAAAAATATGACCTATTGTAAGCGTAAGAGGAATTTTTTTGCAATAAAGTATTTTTCTACTTTTAGTAAAGACGAATAATAAAGTCTTTCTTGTTTTTTGTTTCTACTAAAGTTGAAGTAACACGTTTTGATAAAAAGCAAAGGTTGTGATGGCCTTTTTAAACTCATTATTCTGAATAATTTTTTATTAGCTAAAGTTTTTTGTGCATATACTATAAAAGCATTAGTAGTAGTAGCATAAGCATTTATATTAGAAATACCATAAATAACATAAACCCCCTTATAATTAGCAATTTATTATACAATAAGTCTATATATATACGTATATATATTTGATACTACAGTGTACTTAGTGGCAAGTAACTCAATCCCGTTGACAAAGGGTGCTGTCATTGCTAATATACCAATACTAGAAAAAGAATACATAGTTTCGTTTGATGTTTATCTTGCGTCTTTTACTACTGACGTTCGTATTGTTGTTTATTTTACCATTGGTTTAAATCGTTCGAATAATGATATGATTCCAGCTCTCTTACTTTATCCAAATGGAAATATGGCTATCCCAGCTCCTGCTAATGGAAATTTTTTTACCTACCCAAATCCAATTGCATTAAATACATGGACAAATGTTAGGATAAGTCAAGTTCTAATTGGTACACAATATGTAAATTCAATCCGAATAAACGAGAACACAGTTTCTGATTATACTAATGAGCAAGCTCAAGATTTTTACAATGTGACAGTATATGCTTCAGATACTTGGTTTGAAGCTCAGGATGGTTTTATAAGAAACTTGTTCTTTATCAATGGAAAGGCTAGTAAGTTTTTTTTTATTGTTCGTCTTACTGATTAAAATAACTTTTGATTTTTAAAATGTTTTTATCTTTGATATTTACTTTTTATAATGTACTTTGTATTATTTTTATTGTATTGCTATTATTTTGTTTTATTTACCAATGCTTATATTAAATCGTTGTCTCTGTCTGTTTGTTTGTCTGTGAGCATCAAATCTTGCAATCAATTTTTGAGTCACTTCCTGATGATAGATTTTTTTCAAATTTTGCATACATACTCTTGCTTGGTGACAATACAATATTCAATAATTAGTTTTGTAATAAGTCAATTAATTTAGTTAAATTTAATTAAGCTAACTTTTTATATGGATAAAAGATTAACCTATTTTAAAATAAGTATATTGATTGTTTTCATACTTATATGCGCGTTTAGCATATTTGGATAAGGCATCGACTTTGTAAACGGAATGTCTGTGGTTCAATATTCCTGAACATTTTTGTATTTTTACACACGCATACAGCCGAATGTTAGTAAAATAAAACAGTAATATCAGAAAAAATTGATTGCAAAATTTGTGCTTTAATAACATATAAAAGCATTGTGTTTTTAAAATTCCTTTCAAATTTTACTTGTTGTATTACTATTGACTTGGTATTGATTTTAATGAAGAATTTCTTTAATATGCATGTCCATACATGTATCTTTAAAGTTCATCAAGAAAAATGAAAAAGGTGGTAAGCTGTCTACCAGTTAAATAATTGTTTAAATACCAGTGAATGAATGAGTTTGTTTTACCAATATTGTAAACGCTGGTTGTTGCTTAAAATACATTTTTATTCACAAAATGTTTGTTATATTATATATGTAAGCTTTGTAATTTGTTTTTGTTTTTTTTTTGTACGTTTTGTTATATTTTTTTGAAAAGGATATAAGTGTTACATAGAAACATTGAACATAACTATAAATTGATTTTATCTTGAAACTTTATATCAATTGTGTGAAAGTCACTACCAGAGATGTGTTCTGTTTTTCATGTTGGCTAATTGTAGTGTCATTTAAAATTATATTCATTGTTTGATAACTTTACGCTAATTGGTTTTTATGTGTGTTTGTGTATATATATATATATATATATATATATATATATATATATATATATATATATATATATATATATATACATGTGTGTGTGTGTGTGTTTTATAGATAACTATGAATGCGATGTTCATCCACCTTGCTCTTGGAATAATGGAGTATGTACTAATTCAAATGGCAGCTATTATTGTTCCTGCACCACAGGATGGACATTAGGTCAAGATGGTATCAGCTGTATTGGTGAGTTTTTAAATTTGTGTCAAAGTGATGTTTACCATTACTGAAGACATGTCTGTTAAACAAAAACATCAAAAAAATCTATATTAGAATATAAAAGAGTTTTTTTTTTTTATTCTTTGATATGTTTTACTAATAATTTAGCAAAAGTCCAAAACTACTAGTTTTTCTTCCTTCTGATATTTAAAATATGAACGTTTATAAATTTGTTTAGATATCAATGAATGTATTCAAAGCAATCCTCCATGTTCATGGAGCAATGGAGTATGTATGAATACAAATGGCAGTTTTCTTTGTTCATGTAATATGGGATGGACTTTGGGTGAAGATAACGCTAGTTGTGTTGGTAAGTTTTTAGTATTTTTGTTTATATATTTCTTTATATACATTGATGTGTGTTATACAATTTATTTTTTTAAGATGTAAATGAATGTGCAAGTAGCAGTCCTCCTTGTTCTTTATTCAACGGAGTATGTAATAACACATATGGCAGCTATTTTTGTTCTTGTAACAAAGGATGGATGTTGGCTCAAGATAATGCTACGTGTGTTGGTAAGCGCTTTGATTGTGAGGTTTAATAGTATTGAATTCTATTTGAGTCAAATAATCAATTGAGTTTTATAAAGTTTAGTTTTTTTAATCAATGATCAACTTGTGAAGACTTTTTTTCAGAAAATATGCATAAAAATATTCTGTTAAAGTATAAAGTTTTAATAGTATTTAAAGTTACGCTGTCTTTTTTTATTCCATTAGAAAACTGATAATCTGAAATTTAATATTGAAATGATGAACACAATGCTGTTTTTTTCTTGAATATTAAACATAAGATAGTGTTTTTGTATTATGATATATGCATAGTTACCACCAAAATGTTTTAATTTATCAAATAATCTTTCGAATAGTTTGAGTGTTAAAGGTAATTCTTTTTTTATTCATTGAATCTTACAAGTTTGTATAAAACCTTACATTGAATCTACTCTTTACGATTCTAATTTAAATTTAGCTGTTTCGTTTTTGAATCTCAATGTTGATAAATATTAGCCTTTGATTTGCAAAGATTTCAATAGCTGTATGCTTGGCCAGTGCATTTACTTTTGTATCAGTTTACATATTTGTTGTGAAAGTTTGCATCCACTGACTTTTCTTTTATTTTCTTTCAATGAGCACTGCTTTTGTTTATTTGTTTTCTCTTCGGCAGTAAAGCTCAAAACCCTTGTCTTTCTAAATTGCCCAGCCTGTGTGACTCCAAAAAAAGTTTCCAAATCACTTACCTTTACTGCTTGATTTATACATTGTCTTTGAGCCTAGTTTAGTTTGACTAAATTGATGCAAAAGGTTTCTTTTTCCTTTTTTCTTTTTCTTTTTGTAGGACAACAAAAGATTTCTATTGAAAATAAATGCTTTTTTATCATTGCAAAAAATTGATGCAAAAGGGTAATTTCTTACACCAAGCTCCCAGAGGTGTTCACTGGATTTTGAGATGTTTATGTTTTGACACTTACAGGCATTGTGCAAACTCCAAACTTTTGTATGCTCGTGCTTATGTCAAATGAGAATGTTTTGCAAAGAATTGTGGTGATTGGAGTGGTGATTGGAGCACAAAAAAATTGGAGAACAAAAATACGCTAATTTTTGCTCCCACCCAGTCCTTAATGTGGGAGCAACGAGTTTATAAAATATTTTTTTCTATTGTTTATTATTTTTTAAATTTATTATGTTTTTATCTATTATTATATTATTTTTTTTAAAATTGATATTCATCTTCAAGTTTCAAATTTCATGCAACAATCTCTTATTTCGTGAAAATTATGACCATATAAAGTTTTAAAACACTTCAATTTGAGTTGGCTGTAAAGTTTGCATGTTCATAAAAGCTAAACACTAAGAGATTGTTGCATGAAATTTGTTGATGAATACAAATTTAGATGAAATACTAAAGAAAATATTTTATAAACTTGTTGCTATCAACGTTAAGGGATAGGTAAGCCCAAAAATTGTGTTTTTTTTTTTTTTCCTCCAGGCTCCAATCACTGGAATTCTTTGCAAAACATTCTCATTTGACATAAGCATGAACATACAAAAGTTTAGAGTTTGCACAACGCGTGCAAGTGTCTAGTTTAAAACTCAAACATCTAAAAATCCAGTGTACACCTCTGAGCTCCATACTCTTTGATTGCTCAATTTTTTATTATATCTGATAATTTTTATTTTATCTGATATTTTAAAGACTTATGGTAAATCTTTTATTGTGTCAGAGACAATATATTTTATATATTTTCATTTTTCAATTGTTTTGTTTTTAAATTAACTCAACTAGATGCAAGCAGCCATTATTTAAGTTAGAAGTTGCATCAAGAAAACAGAGAGGAGAGTTAAAAAGCAAGAAAATGGCTGACAGACGACTTGAAAAATTATCATGATCTCCGAGTCAAGAAAACATAAAGATAAATGAGAAATTTAAAGTTGTTCCAAAACAAAACCTAGATGCATCGAGTTTTTTATTTGAGCATAAAGGAACAGTTACAGTAAAAGAATGCTTATTGAACAATGAATGTGTTTTGGATGGTGGATTATAGTTCACTTACGCAATGACCATAGTAGTATTGATAGAAAGAAAAAAAAAAAAGCACTACAATCTTGGAGTAGAAGCAGTAGAGTAGAAGCTCAAGCTTGGAGGATAAATTAGAACCTAGATTAGAAACATTTATAATTAGTTTTGAATAAATTTATATAAATGATAACATTTTTAATAATTATAGTTTAGTAAATTATAAAAAAGGATTGATAATGAAAAGAAAACTTGATAAAAACTTGATGAAAAGAAAACTTGATGATGGATATCAATTTAAAAAAAAATAATATAATAATAGATAAAAAAAAAAAAAATTTAAAAAATAATAAATAATAGAAAAAATATTTTATAAACTTGTTGCTCCCACATTCATTCAGTGCTCCCACATTCATACACTCAGTGGGAGCAATAATTAGTGTATTTTTGGTCTCTAATTTTTTTGTATATATATTTATATATATAAATATATATATATTTATATATATAGGCAAGATATATATATATATATATATATATATATATATATATATATATATATATATATATATATATATATATATATATATATAAGACATTATGAAAAATAATTATTTATATATATATATATATATTTATATATATATATTTCTATTTATATATACATGTATATATATTTAAATATATATATGTTTATATATATTTAAGTATATATATATATATATACATATATATAAATATATATTTAATTAAATATATTTATACATATTTAGTAGATATATATATATCTTTATACATATATATATATATATATATATATATATATATATATATATATATATATATATATGTATATATATATATATATATATATATACATATATATATATATATATGTGTGTGTGTGTATATATATATATATATATATATATATATATATATATATATATATATATATATATATATATATATATATATATATATATATATATATATATATATATATATATATATATATATATATGCTCTGAGAATGTATGCAACTGTTTAGCTGTGAAAATTTATGTGTTCTCAATGAATAATAATAATAATTTTGTTAAAAAATCTTTTATATGTAGACATGTGTATGTATATATATATATATATATATATATATATATATATATATATATATATATATATATATATATATATATATATATATATATGTATATATATATATATATATTTTATATATATATATATATATGTGTATATATATATATACTACATATATATTTTTATATATATATATATATAAATATATATATATATATATATATATATATATATATATATATATATATATATATATATATATATATTTCTAATATATATATATATTTATATATATATATATATTTCTAATATATATATATATATATATATATATATATATATATATATATATATATATATATATATATATATATATTATATATATATATTTATTATTACATAAACACCAATAAATACAATTTGCTCTTAATTCTAAATTTATTTTTTCTTTTTTAAAGTAGTTTTAGCTGGATTGTTGTGACTAGTGTCTTCAGCTTAAAATTTTTGTTTGTTTTTGTTTATATGTTATTTTTAAACGGCAGTTCTATTATATGTCGATGGGTTGGTATTTTCTCTTTCTGACTGAAGTGCATTAGAAATGGTGTCCATAATTTTGTTGACACATATTGTCTTTTATCTAAATTGATACTATTTTGTTGAGGGGCACATTGGTGGTACTGTATTTCAAGCGCCTCACGAATTTTTCTATCAATTTTTTTGTTATTGAATTTTAGAGTTCTGCAACTGTCCCAGTTAATTTGTTGTCTACAATGTTTCATGTGTGTGGGTAATGCTGATCGTTCTGTTTTATTTTCTATTGTACTGTTTTTGTGTTGTTGCATGCGTGTTTTTATTTTAACTTTTGTTTCACCTATATTCTTTTTGTTACAATAGCACTCAATAAAGTAAACTCCTGGGTGGCTGTTCCTTTGTAGTTTGGATTTATTTTTTGATGTCAATATTGTTTCTAGATTCAAGTTTGATTTGAAGACCGTTTTATATCCTGCCTTCCTAAACACCTTTTGCTATTAGGGAGACATTATTGGTATCCAAGGTAATGAAGTTGTTGGATGCGTACTGGTGATGTCAATATTTTTAGTAGTCACTAGAGGTTTTTTGTACTTCTCTTTTATTTCTTTTATGATTTTTATGAGCTTGTAATGTTTGTAACCATTTTTGACAATTACTTGAATAAAGAATTTCAGTTCGTTTTCTATATGTTTCTCACTGCATATATTAAATGCTCTATGTACAAAACTTTTGAATATTCTATTTAAAATTTGTGGGTCATGGTTTGATGTTGCCTTAACTTGAATGTTAGTAGCATTTTTTCTGTGTATTTTAAATTCGTATTTACCATTTTTATTATTTATTATGCATATTTCTAGATAATTTAGTGTTTTTTTTTGTCATTTTCAAATTCAATTGTATATTGTATTTTTGGATGCTGTTGATTAATTATTGTCTTGAATTGATTAGCCTGGGCAATGTTAGGGACTCTAGCATCCTGTCATCTACGTATCTATAAAATGATTTTATGTCAATAGGCGGGTTGGTTTTCAGCGCTATATTAGGCGCTCTTTTTTCAAGATTTTGAAGAAAATATTCAGCTAAAACTACCATAAAAGAAAGACCTATTGGACCTGAATTTTCAAGTTCATGTATTTTATTGTTCAATAAAAAGTATGGTTGGTATAAACATAGTTCTATCAGAGTTTTTATTTCTTTTATATTTAATTTTGTCACTTTTTTAAAATTATCGCTCACCTCCAATATACTTATGAGTACATCAGTTGCTTCTTTAAGTGGAATTGATGGATATAAGTTTATAACGTCTAATGATATTTGAAATTTGTCACTGAATATGTCCCACGATTTTGCTTTTTCTACAAATTGTTGCGAATTTTTTAATCTAGTTGGGTTTTCATTTGATATTGGTTGTATTAGTTTTACTAAGTAATTTGAGATTCTGTAGTTTGGTGTGTCTATTGTAGATACTACAATTCGCATTAGGTAAGATTTTTCAGGTTTATGTGCCTTTGCAACATTATACATACGACATGGAATTGGGTCACTGGGATAAATTTGCTGATATTCATCTTTTATGAACCGACCTTTTTTATTAATTTCAATAGTTGGACTTTGATTTTAATTGCGTAATTTTGTGTCGGATCTTCATTGATTATTTTAGTTGATTCAATTTGTTCTCGAATCTTTTTTGTTGCTTTATTATGAGTGATTATTACAAAGCCTATTCCTTTATCAAAATATATCAATATTGTTATCCTTTTTTAGTTGTGTAAGTGCTTTTCGTTGTTGACGAGTCAGGTTGTCATTTTTATTATTTTTATTTAGTTTTAATTCTCTCAAAACTTCTCTCCTCAGAGTTTGTGCAGCTTTATCTTTTTTGTTGTACTCAAGTTTTAGAGCAGATGACTCGGTTATTGAGACAATTGTCAAGATGCGGAAGAGATTTTATTGTTAGTACAAATTTTGGTCCAAGGAGACTTTTTTAATGTTATGGAATTTCTGTGTTGCATAAGTTTAAAACAGCTTCTTTAGTATAGATTGTTAAATGAGATATTTGCTTAATGCGTTGATTTTGAAGAAGTTTGAATTTTTTAATTAATCTGTCTCTTGATTTCACGAACATATTTTCTCGTGCTTTTTCAGTGATTTGTTCTTACAGTTCTTCTCCTACTCAGCTAGTTGATATTAAAAATGACAACAGCTCTTGTTCTGAATATAGTTGTTATGTTTATGATTCTGATTTAAGTGCAAATATAATAAATGAAAATATTTACAAAAATGAAAAATTTTAATATTGCTAGATGAATAGAAACTACAATTTTTTATGGTTTTTAACGATAATGCTATTCTTTAAACTTTTTTTATAATAATGATAATGATTTACCACTAACTATAATGTACTATTTTTTTATTCTTTTCTTATTTGTATTAAAAATGTTGTATTAATTTGTTTAGGTATAAATGAATGTATTCAAACCAATTCTGAATGTTCTTGGAGCAATGGAGTATGTACTAATACTAATGGTAGTTTTTTTTGCTCGTGTAGTGTTGGATGGGCGTTGGGTCAAGATAATGCCAGTTGTGTTGGTAACTTTTTTATCTTTTATATATTCTTATATATATATACATATATGTATATATATATATATATATATATATATATATATATATATATATATATATATTTATATCGTAGCGTCCAGAAGTTAAGGGACAGTCCTAAAAAAATTAAATTTTACTAATATTTCAGCGCATATATAACATAAGCCGTTATATTATATACCAATTAAAAGGTTTTCAGGTTAACAATTATGTTTTGAACAAACAATAAATTATTATTTAACATTTTAAAATTGGTTTACAAAAAAACAATTTTTGATAAGTTCAAAAATTTGCAGACAAACTAAAACATTTATCATTTTAACCACGAAATTGCTATTTTGTTGATTTTATAAACAAATATTTTTTGGAATTTATTTACTAACTTTAAATATAAGTGATTGAGATCATGGGATCTAAGAAATATATTTCATCTTCAGTGAAAAAATTGATCTTGAGATCAGTTCAAAATAGAAATTCGTTTCGTAAAACAGCACAGCTTTATTGAGTTGTTAAGTCTTCTGTTGGACAAATTATAAAGAAATATGAGCATACTAGATTTACAAAGAATAAAAATCTATCAGGAAGTCCACACAAAACAATTCATTATCAGGATAAAAAGCTTGTAGTTCTAAGCAAAAAAACAATCTCTATTTGACAGCTGTCAATTTAAACATACAAATAAGAAGTTTCTATGGAATGAATTATAGTATTTCTCCTAAAAAACGTTGTTTATGTCACATTAATTTATTTAGAAGACATACAGCTAAAAAACCGTTAGTTTTTTAGAAAAACTGTAACGCTCAAAATAAATTTGCATCAGAACATCTAAAGTAGAGTAGTCAACAATAGTCAAAAGTTCTTTTTAGTGACAAAAGCAAGTTTATGCTGTTCGGGTTAGATGGAATCAAGTATGTTCAATGTCCAGTAGGTACAAGATACAATCCTAAATACTAAATGCGTACTGTAAAGCATAAAGGAGGTAATGTAATGGTTTGGGGCTGAAATCGAGTTGGTCCTCTCCATAGAATTACTGAGACTATTAATCAATAAAAGTACAAATATTTATATTAGAATATTATCTTACCTTATGCAAAGGATAAAATGCTTTAAGGATGGATATACCAACAGGATAACAATCCCAAACATACAGCCAAATTGATTTTAGGGTTTTTTCAAAAAGAGTAAAGTTAATGTTTTGAAGTGGCCATCCCAATCACCTGACTTAAATCCAATTGAAGATCTATGGGAATATGTTGGCCGTCAAATGAAAGGAATCAAGCCAATAAGTTATGCTGATTTATTTAATAAAATCAAAGAAACATGAGACTTGAGCCCCCTTGATGTTTGCATTCATTTTGTTGCTTTTATGCCTCATAGATGCCAAGCCATTCTTGATTGTAAAGAATATCCTACAAAAATTAATGTGATTTTGCTTTTATATAAATTTGTAATCAAATATTGTTGAAAAATTTGTACTTTTAAAAAAATAATGGTCTTTCCAAATCTTTGAACTTATCAAAAATCTTTGATTTGTATACCAATATAAAAACGTAAATTAGATAATGATTATTTCTTTTAGTTTTTTTATAGATTAAATAATTAAATTTAATATTGCTTTAAAAATGTTTGACATCAACAAATTTCTTTCTTTTCTTAACATGGGCATAAATGATTTAAAATATGTTAAATTTTGAAGTTTTTAAAATGATTATTTCTTAAATTTCTAATTGTGGCTTTGCAACTACAAATGCTTTTTATTTAAAAAAATTAGCATCAAATAAAAAAAAATACATTAATTTATTTACTTCATTTATTTAAATTTTGTTAGATTATTATTTTATTATTAAAATCACATCAATTAATATATTGTTTATTAATAATAATAGCTGCGATTTAACTTGTTTTATAAAAAAAAGAAGTTAAAATCGAGTTTTCTTCAAACTTTTGATGCAGTTTATTTAAAATTTAATTTTAAATAAAAAAAAATGTTTTGGATGGAAAACTGAAAAAAAAAAACTGAAAAAACAATTGCAATAAAAATAGGCTGATTTTTTTTAAGAACAAATAAAATTTAAAAATTGAACAATATTTTGTAATATTAAATAGATTTGACAGTTAAGTAAAACCAAGCATTAACTTTAATTTTAATAAACTTAAATAGATTTTTTAAATCAAAATTAATTTATATATTTTTAAATTTTTTTTTTTTTTTATCAGAATAAAATTATATATTTTTATTAAATTAGTTTTAAATTAAATCATATGTTTTTTATCAGAATTAAATTTTGATTTTATGATCTTTGCTTCAAGCTTTAAAAATCAATAAAATAAAAACAGAATAAAATTAGGCTTTTAATTTTATTTGATTTTTTTTATTAGTTATTATTTTTTAATGAAAAAATTTATTATTTAAATTTATTATTTAGATAACACTTATATCAAAACATAATTGTCATTCAAACTATTGTCAAAAATATTTATACATAAACGTCATTCAAAAATTAATTTTTTTTATAAATTAATTACTTCTTTTATTTTACCACTTATAGTATAAAAATAAGTTTAAAGTTAAAAAATGATAAAAAGTTGCTTAACCGAAATTGCTCACTGCTTACATAAAAATTGCCTAAGGCATATGTAAATGGCTCTACGTATAATGCTTTAAAACAAGGCCTGATGTATATATATCAGTCTTCTCTGTTTAACAAGCGCTTTTGCACTTTTGCAGTTTTCCTCAAGCCTGCCAATACTAGGGCTGGCGCTTTTTTAGGTGCTTGCCAAAAAATTTAAAAGTGTTTTTAAATTGCAACAAAACTTTTTTCCTAATCAAATACTTATTAAAGAGGTATAAATAACAAATATTTTTTAAAATCGTACACGCCAGACAAATAATTACTGTTCGGCCAGTGCTTTTTTGTGTGCTGGCGGTAAATTTCAAATGGAGAAGACTGATATATACAAATATATATATATATATATATATATATATATATATATATATATATATATATATATATATATATATATATATATATATATATATATATATATATATATATATATATATATATATATATATATATATATATATATGTATATATATATATATATATATATATATATATATATATATATATATATATATATGTATATATATATATATATATATATATATATATATATATATATATATATATATATATATATACATATATATATATATATACATATATATATATATATATACATATATATATATATATATATATATATATATATATATATATATATATATATATATATATATATATATATATATATATATATATATATATATATATATATATATATATATTGTCAGGTATATGTCAGGTATGTTTTCTTTCAACTTTCATGACGCCATATAATAGACTATATAGCACCATAGAACTTATAGTTCTTTTTACTTTATGCACCACTCTACAGTTAAATATTTCCCTGCCCGCTACAGTTGTGGAGGCTATTCTTTTCTTTTTTTTTTGCTTAACCTGTTGTTTAAGAGAAGGCTTCTGCACAGAGAAACACAGTACTGCTAAAGATATGGTTGGGGTTGAACTTGGTGCTTCTTGCTTATAAACAAGCACTTACCACTACACCACTAGCAAGTGTTAAATACTATAAAATTGATTGTTTTTTTTTTAGTTATTTTTATATCAACTTTTTATTAAAAATTTTTTTATCATTTTTCTATTTTTTAATTCATTAAGATGTTGATGAATGCTCAAGCAATATTCATCCCTGTTCTTGGAGTAATGGAGTATGTTTAAACACACTGGGAAGCTTTATTTGTTCATGTAAATATAGATGGATATTAGGAAAAGATAACTCCAGCTGCATTGGTGAGTTTTTATATTTTTATTATTTAAATTACCATTTATCTTTAATTGTTTATGATAATTAAAATATTAATTTTTGTCTGATTTTTTAAAAATATTTCCTGCAGCCTGTCATAAATGTTTTTCTGCATGCGTAAGTAAGTATAAATGAAAACATATTAAAGCACTTAGGCTGCATAGGTTTTGACTTGCTGATACAAAGTTATCCTTATAGCCTTGATTTCGATGTTACATTAATAATATCAACTTATGTAATTCATGACGTAGGCTTGTTTATCAAGGTTTGTGTTTCTGAATAAAAAGATAAAGTTAGAGTTGTAACAAAATTATTAAGAAAAATAAAATTTCTTTTCTGAATGCATAATTGATATTATAATTTGATCATTATGAGGTGTTTATTTTTTCACTTTATTTTTTCACCACTTTATTTTTTTGAACCCATTACTCCGATCATACTTTTACTTTTTAAATTCTTTTCATCTCTATAAAATTTTATTTTTATTTCTTGTCATCTCCATAAAATTTTATTTTTATTTCTTGTCATCTCCATAAAATTTTATTTTTATTTCTTGTCATCTCCATAAAATTAATAAATTTTAAAATTGAATTTGTAAAATTAATTTTACAAATAATTAATTGAATGTTCAACATAGAGAATATTTAAAAATTCTTATTTGTGTTTTTCTTTTTTTAATGAAGAAATTCACTTAACATTTTTTGTTGTGCTATTTTAATTGACTAAAAATGTTATATTAAAATGAACATCATCACCAAGTTGCACAAAGTTTAATAAACAGTTTATAAAAATATTAGTTTTTAAATAAATCAAAAAATGTACTTGAAACTTAAACTAATATTTAAAAGCATAACTTCATTTTTTGTGATCAACAAAAAAAAATTTTAACGTATTCTTAAAAATTTGTTATTGCTACACTGACTTAATTTTTTCATCTATAGATATATGTGAAGGCTGTGAAGAAAATAAAAACAAAGTATGTGATGTAAAAAGTGCTACTAAAATGTTATGCTTGTGTAAAAATGGTTATTTTTCTTTGGACAATATGATGACTTGCATAGGTAATTCAGATTAATTATTCTTTATATAGGTTGTACCTATAACCTAACCTGACCCAAAAGACTAAAACCCAGCTCAGCCCAACCTTAATGCCAACTTTTCTTTATTTTTCTAAAAATTTTTGTTTTGGAAAAGAAATACATTTGTTTACCTTTTTATTGGTTAAAAGTTTAATATATATTAAAAAAATAATATAATAAATCAAGATAATAAAAAATGCAATATTTATATATGTAAACTTTTTGTTTTACAAAAAAATTATTTAGAGTGTCTATATTAAAAAGTTATAAGTTTTTAATAGGAAATGATGAGATAATTACTGAAACCAATAAGTAGATGTGTGGATTTTATATAAAACTTAAAAAAACATCAATAAAAATACAAGCTCAATGGCAATTCATTTTTATAGTAACCATCGGATTAATATAAAGGATTAGTATAAAGAGTCTAAATTTCCAAGTACAACAACTGGTCATGTATCTATAAAAGCTGCATTTGCAAACTCTCACTCATATTGTTCAAGTTCACAGAAAAATAGAGATTTAGAGGAATTTATGCGCAGCTTTGTTCTTCAAACAGGTCAACTGCTGTCAATAATTGGTAATAAGTATTTTATTAAAATGCTAGCTTCGTTTGATAACTAGTACAAATTGCCAAAGAGGCAAAAGTTACCGTATGAAATAGTGCCGCTTAAATTTGAATCACTTAAAGTCAAAATAATGCATCTTTTAAACCAAGCTGAATTTTGCTATCTAACCACAGATGGATGGGCATCACAAGCCTCACATTCATACATCGGCGCCACAGTACATTTTGTTGATCAAAATTTTTGTTTGAAATTGATTCGGATTGCATTAAAGCATAGCCCAAAAGCCCATACTATCCTATATTTAACGAAGCAAAATGAGTTAATTCTAAATGAATGGAAAATAAGTGATAAAACTCTTTCAACGAGTAGTGACACTACTGCAAATATCAAACATTGTCTAGAAGATCTAATTAATAAATTGTACATTTCTTGTTTTTGTCATTTATTAAATTTAATTAGTTGAAGATGTGTTTGTAAAAAAGAATTAGCTATCAACTGACAAAAATCATTGTGTTTTCATAATTTTAAAGAAATAAGCTTTCTGCTCAACTTGTAAATTGTGTTGAGTTAAATAATATGAAAATTGACAACAAAGAAGATAAATGTTTAATTAATAAATTAAAATAAAACCTTGCTACTCGGTGGAATTTGACCTTTTTAATGTTGCAGTCAGTTTTTAAACTTAGCGAATTGATCAAAGATGTTATTATCAAGCCAGAGAACAAAGATAAAAAGTATTTGTTAATAAAAAGTTGGGAACTGGAAATTATTGGGGAGCTAAATAATTTATTAGAGCCAATATATGATTTTACAAAAATTTTGAGCACATCAATATATACCACTTGTTCAATTATATTACCAGCCGTTTAAAAATTAACTGATTACTTTGCTAACTTCAAAAGTGAATCAAATAGTTGGACAATTATGAATCTTCCCATCAAATTCAAGTATAATTTTAATCGAAAATGTGAAGATTTTTATAAAAATAAAAAGTTGTACTCAGCTGCATATTTAGATCCGCGATTTCACAATTTTAAATTTATATTGAACAAAACAGCAAAAAAATTTTGTATTAAAAAAACTCATTCTTTAGTTGTTCAATTGAGCCATGAATTGCAGCTAACACCAACAAGCCTTCAGTTGTCTAGCCAAGAGTCGTCATGTAGTCAAAGAAATCAAAAAAAAAAGATTATTATAAATGAATTCAAAAAACTTTTCATTATGATTCTTGATTAAGTGAATCTTTTCATTATGATTCTTGATTAAGTGTTTATATCAATGCTAAAACAAAGGGTTAATAACAACTGTTACAAAAAAATATTTTTTCAAATGTTGTGTCATGGCATGGAAAATAAACAAAATATTTAAAATAGTCAATAGATTTTAAAATAATTTGTTACAAATAGAGCAGTAATTGATAGAGATAATCTACCAAATAAAATAGTAAAAGTGGCTTCAACAATTGAACTTAAATATATATATTTTTTAAATTAATTTGTGACTTAAAGGTTTTTATGAAAAGACGGTCATTTTGCTATTTAAAATACTTGCTAGTTAAAATCAGTTACAACAAATGTAATTCTAATAGTAATAATTATAATTATAATAATCGTTGTTATTATTATGATTGTTGTTGTTATTATTATTATTATTATTATTATTATTATTATTATTATTATTATTATTATTATTGTTATTACAAAACATAGGTATATACTAAATATTATTTAGATGTTGATGACTGTTCATCAGGAATAAATGGCTGTAGAGATAATAGCATATGTGTAAATACAGATGGTGGTTACAATTGTACTTGTCCCATTGGTTTTATACTTACTAATGATGGAATGGGATGTGAAGGTATACTGCTATTGTTTGATAATTTATTTATTTGATTTTGAACAATATTTTAAACTTTATATATATATATTCAAAAAAAGTTTAGAATTACCTCAATACATATATATATATGTATATATATATATATATATATATATATATATATATATATATTTATATATATATATACATATATATATATATATATATACATATATATATATATATATATATATATATATATATATATACATATATATATATATATATATATATATATATATATATATATATATATATATATATATATATATATATATATATATATATATATATATATATATATATATATATATACACAGTGGGTGCTCATAATATTAGAAACACGACCAAATTTTAAAAACTTTGTCAATAAAGTTCAAAATTAACAAAACATTTTAGCAAAATAATTTTTTTTATTTTACAAATAGTATGTATGTACCTTTTACTTTAATCTGGGAATTTGGCAACATTGCATTTCATCTCATTATGAAGTTATAGGGTTTTTCCCGAATTTTGGCAATTTTGGCAGTTATACCTGTTGTTAGTTAGTTAGTTGTTGTCGCGTGAAGTGCTGTTTGTGTATTGCTCTCTTTTTAAAGTTTTCAAAGATTTTTTTATTGTTTTGTTATTAAGTTCTATTTGTGTGTCTATTTTTTACAGTTAAACATGATTAAATCAATATTTTTACATATAATTTGACTTCTATAACGGTTTACTAGAATCACGTGTTTTTTTCAATATGGGAAAGGCAAAAGATGTTTCACCCTCAAAAAAAAGAGAAGTTGGAGCATTATTGAAGAATACTTCTTATTCTCAAAGGTGTATAGCATCAATGACAAAGGTTTCAGTGGCAACAGTCAACCGAATAAAAAAAAATCTGGACAAAAATGCTGATTATACTCCTCAACGAACAGGACAATGTGGTAGAAAACGGCTAACAACGCCAAGAGATGATAGAAAAATATAAGATATTTGCCTAGAAAATAGGAATAAGCCTAGGCGAATACTAACCACTTTAATGCAAGATGCTGGAATACCAGTATCTCCAATGACAGTTCGTCGCCGACTCAAAGAACAAGGATTTCGATGCTGTCGACCTGCTAAAGAGTCTAAGCTCACTCTAGCAATGCAACAAAAATGCCTTGCTTGGGCTAAAAGTCATCGGCATTTGACCGTCGATGACTGGAAAAATGTAAGTACTTCATTTATAATTGTACACATTCCATTTAGAGATTTGCCTACATTAAAACTTTGACTTATAAGTTTTTTTGATGTTGTTTAGGTATGTTTCTCGGACGAATTGACAATCCAGATATTGATGAACAAATCACAGTTTGTGCGTAGACAAGCTGGAGAAAAATTCCACAAAGACTGCATCTTAGAACATGTAAAGCATCCTCTAAGTATAATGGTATGGTCTGTCATTAGTGGACATGGAACAGGGCGCTTATATATCGTTGAGGGAACTATGCGCCAGGACCAATACATAAAAGTTCTTGACACAAGATTGGTACTACAGTTGAAGGAATGGTTCCCAAAGAACCAAAAATTTACATTTATGCATGATTCTGCCCCATGCCATAAAGCAAAGAAGGTTACTGAGTACCTAAAAGCAAAGAAAATTCCAGTGCTACCATGGCCTGGAAACTCACCAGATTTAAACCCTATTGAAAATCTGTGGGAGATCATGAAAAGGGAAATTGCTTCTGAAATGATCACCAACAAAATACAATTAATTGAAAAGATGATCAAAGTCTGGCACAATAACATAGATATTCAAAATAATGCAATAAAATGCATAGAAAGTATGCCAAGACGTGTAGAAGCAGTAATAAGTGCCAAGGGAGGGATAACAAAATACTAAAATAAATCACCAATATGTAATCTTTTGCTTGTACAATAGTGGAATTATTTTAAAAAATAAATAAGTATGTTTTTTATAATAAATATAGACCGCAACACTTAAAAGTTACGAAAAAATAGTCTGCAACCTTTTTATTTCTATAATAAATAACCTTTAACACATAATTTTCAAAAAAAAGATTTTCTAATAATATAATAATTTTCTAATAATTATCTAATAATTTTCTAATAAAGCACCCACTGTATATATATATATATATATATATATATATATATATATATATATATATATATATATATATATATATATATATATATATATATATATATATATATATATATATATATATATATATATATATATATATATATATATATATATATATATGTATATATATATATATATATATATATATATATATATATATATATATATATATATATATATATATATATATATATATATATATATATATATATATATATATGTATATATACCTTTGAATACTGTACCTTGACCTTCAGAACAGTTGCTGTTTAATTAGGCATAGAACAGGCCAAAGATTTGTAATATTCAGGTGTTTTGCTGGTTACACAGCAGTATTCAGTATTCAGGTATTATTCAGCAGTATTATGCTGGCCTATACATTCTTGATGGCGTCTATTAACGTTTCAACTGATGTTGGATGTTCGTTGCTAACCTTCTGCTTCATCATTGTCCTCATGTTTTTAATTGTGTTTAAGTTGATCCAGACCATGGGCCAAGCAACTGAACCTCTTGCTTCTCCAACCAGCATCTGACAGCTGCTGTCTTGTGGCAGGGTGCACCATCATGCTAAAAATGGATGTAGGAGTGTATTGCCATATATTGGGGAAACTTTTCTTTTGAAACATCCAGGTAAACTTGCCCATTAATACCCATATTCTTTGGAATAAACTAAACAACCTGTGCTAGATGTGTAAAAGCTGCCCATACTATGGTCTTTGGGGCCTGTTTGGTTGTTAATATCATATATTTTGAACTGTACCTTTCGTTGATGGGCCTCTGAACTACCCTAATTTAACATGTGTATTGAGTGAAGGTTGGTTCTTTAGAAAACATGATATTTATCCATTAATCTTCTGCCCAGGTTCTGTGCAGCTTACAAAATGTCAAGTGACCTTGGACATTCTTTTTCAAAAAATTTTTGGCTTACTTACATGAGGTCAGCTTAAATTTAACTAGCAGATGTCTTCTGAGAGTTTGGGTGCTCACCTTAGCAGGTATCCAGGTAGCAATGTTGGCCAATGAGATATTTGGATAAGCTACCACAGTTCTTTGGATAAGCATATCAGTTGCTGCTAACATCACTCTTGGTCTACCAAAGCGTTTCTCAGATTTCAGCTGGCTGGAAACAAGAATCTGAGCCCATTGTGCAGTTGATAATTCTTTAGAATGCACTATTTCACACACTAATTTGATTTAAAAAAAGTTAAATTTGTTGTTTTTATGTTTTATTTTTTAATGTTTTCATATAATTTAACATATTATAAATCATTTATAAAATGAATGGGTAAAACATGAGAATTTTAATTTAATTAGTTAAGTTAATTTATTTTCATCAGACATACCAGTTTAATCTTGCAGCTGACCTGAGCTCGGTCCAAATCAACTTCTTACAGCCAAATATTCAATATCAGCTTACTAATCTCAAAGTTATTTACTTTCAGTTATGGCTTGTAATTGGCCTGAATAAGTCACGCATTATCTCCTAGAAGTAGGGTATGCAATGTCTATTAACCTCTCTTTTTTTTTGAATAGGGAAATACAGACAGCTGAGGTGTTGATAATAGTTGATAAACTGATGATAATAGTTAATACCTGTTGATAATAGTTAGTACCTGTTGATAATAGTTAATAAACAATCTCTAGTGATCCCTAGTCTTCAATAAATTAACAACTTGATGTACTTTTAATTATGTTGGGTCAATAATATTAAATTAGTTAAAATTTATAACTGGTTCCAAACTTTTGGCAAGACTGTATATATATATATATATATATATATATATATATATATATATATATATATATATATATATATATATATATATATATATATATATATATATATACATATATATATATATATATATATATATATATATATATATATATATATATATATATATATATATATATATATATATATATATATATTAGCTTATTAGCTCATCCCATTTTGACCCTCATGAACAAATTTTAATACACGGAGTGTCATAGAATATTCCCAAGGTATTGCCTTCTTTATGAAATTATATTATTTATACTCGCGTAATTCTTTTAAAGTTTAACATTTTTACATTTTTTTAGTTTTTTAAGGGTATTTTCAAACAATCGGTGCAAATAGAAATTTACAAGTCATTAGCTATGAAATAATGTCATTAAAAAATTATTAGAAGGTTTTTCCATTAATTTTTAAACTAAGTTTCCCAGGCGACCATTTTTCTTGTACACTTCCTGCTATCTTGTCAGAAAGCATCATACAGCTGAAGCTGTAAATAAGCCGGAGAATAAACTATTTATATCATAAAACCATAAAAGGTTAAAAAATAGTAAGGTAAAGATAAAACTACTTCACTATAAAATACGTTTTTGCAAGAAAAAAATGTATAGGTTTCTAATTTTAAAATTATTTACATTTAGACTTTTGAGAAGTGAAGAGGTTATTGTGAACTTGCAGGAAAAAAATTAGATCATTAGGTGAAAATTTACAGATATGGAGCTGTTTCACATGCCTTGAATTTCATGAAATTCAAGTTGCATTTCTCTAAAATTAGGCAGGTTTTTATTCTGAGTAATAAAATACTCAAAGAGATCAATAGAATAATTGACTACATTACTTTCTCCAGGGCATTTTTACCTACGACTTTTCTGATTCTGCAATTTTTAAAGTGAAACTTAATTTCATAAGTTTCACTTTAAAAATTTACTAAAAACATAACTAAAATATCAATCTTATTATTTAAGATTAATTTAATTATTTAATTATTTGTGCCATAAAGTAACAAATTGTTTAAAAACAATGTTTTTGCAAAATGGTTTAAAATCAGATGTAAAATACAAAGAAAATAACTCTAAACCAATTTTTTTTCCCATGATAAACTTTTCTTAAAATCAGTAGAAATATTATAAAAATGAAATCAATAGAAATTGCACTTTGATTTTATCTTGTCAAAATTAAATGTAATAAGTTTTTAGCAGTGTCATTTTAAACCTTATTTTATCTACATTGTATTATTTTTAATTTACACTTTTAAGATCAACAAGACTATTGGCAGATGTATATTGAGCCTGCTGCAGAGGTGAAATTCAAATCATGGTAAAACCATAGAGGTATTTGATGCTGGCATAAGCATCTTTTGACCAAAATCACAATATAAAAATGGTAAAAAGTTCTGTAATCAAAAACAACGAGAGGTCCGAAAAGATTTAAAAACAGATAGAATCAAAGCTGAAATCCTTCCGAAAGCAGATTTTGTTTGTAAAAACCAACCGCTAGGTCTTGAGTTGTACATTTCACCAGGCTACTGGTTATTTTTTAATATTCTAGGTCATCGTTTGAAAAAATGCCTACATATGAGACTCCTTCAGATTTTTTGGGTACAATAACATTCCAAAACTTTGAAAATCTTTCAAAGTTGCTAACAACTCATCAGAACTCACAGCAAAATCATAAATCTGTTGACCATAGTTTAAGAGATTTATTTCTTAAAATAAGAAATATATTTCTTGTATTTAAAAATAAGTTCTAATTTGAATTTTGATCCAATACCTAACTACAAATTATGAATCTTAAAAGTACAATTAAAAATTATTTTTTTACATTTTTTCTTGAGATATATTTTTTAAGCTGAAAATTTGTTTGTATATAAATATTTATTGTACATTTGCAGTGTTTCAACGCTGAATTCTCATGCAAATTTGTTTCAGAAACAAGAGAAAGACAGAAAACAAGAGAACATTTGGTATCAAATGTTTTTTTTAAAAAAACATTTGATAACAAAAATTATAAAGTTGGTTGTATGACTGGAAAAATTAGATTAGGTGTTAATTGATCTATGTAATCAGTGAAAAATATTAAACAATCTATTTCTTGAATTATTAGACAGAGTTTTTTTTGGTACAGAAACACATTAAGAAATCATCGATGAAAAAATTAACTGAATTTGTGCCATAAATTTGCTCATGCTCTAAATTTAGTCAAAATTCATAATAAGCGTAACTTTCAACAATCGGCGTGGAGATTATATAATATATATATATATATATATATATATATATATATATATATATATATATATATATATATATATATATATATATATATATATATATATATATATATATATATATATGTATATATATATATATATATATATATATATATTTATATTTATATATATATATATATATATATATATATATATATATATATATATGTATATATATGTATGTATATATATATATAAATATATATATATATATATATATATATATATAAATATATATATATTTATGTATATAAATATACATAAATATGTATATATATATATATATGTATATATATATATATATATATATATATATATATATATATATATATATATATATATATATATATATATATATATATATATATATATATATATATATATATATATATTTACTTAGGTTTATTGATGATGTTTATTATTTAATTTGTGTGTTTTTATTGTTTTCTTAGTTTGTTTTAGAATAAGATTTTACATAATATAAAATCTTTTTTCGGATAAACTTAATTTAGATGTTAACGAATGTTTACAAAATAAATGTGGTTTGGATGATAGTGTTACCTGTATAAATAAAGTAGGAAATTTTAAATGTATTTGTCCGCAAGGCCAATTCTTTAATTCTTCAGTATTACTATGCCAAGGTAAGTTACTGTATATAAAATATTTACTGTATTTAAGATATAAGTACTATAGCTACTGTATATAATAAAGCATACAACCCCTCCACCCATCATACACCCTCCACTTTTCTATCAGAGCTCTTGCATAAATAAAGATAATATAGTTAAATTGGGTCTTATATACAAAATTAAAAAGTTTTTAAAGATTGTTCAAGAAAAAAGACATTACAGAATAAATTTATCAATTTCATTTTGTATCTACTATAGCGGCATAAAGTAAGTATACAATGGTGTATACTTACTTTATACTTGGTTAGCCACAGCATCAAAAATAAGTTTTTGCAGATCTGTATAATATGCTTTTTTGTTTTTCTTTGAAACCATTAAATTGCATTCTAATTTATGAAGCTTTTCTTTAAGAAGAAAATGGTGTATACTTCAATGGTGTATACTTACTTTATGCTGCTATTGTACTCAGATTTCTACCATTTAATTATAAGTAACTTTAAAGTTTTGTTTTATAATCATCTAGATTTCTTCCAACAATACTTTGACTAATAAAGTTCATAAAAATTGACTAATAAATTTCCTAAAGTTCAATATGGCGGTCAAATAGCTGATCAAAAATGGTTTTATTTAATTACTCTTTGTTTTAAGAAAAAAATTTTAAAGGGAAAAAAGTTGTTTGCTTTCATTTTTAATTGACAAATTATTTTTAACCAATACAGAAAGTGTGCATTTTTTTTTTATCTATAATTGATTAATTTTATTCAAAGAAATATGAGGTAAAAATAAGTTTATTGTCAATTTAATGTAGTATCATTTATATAGAAAATTATAAATCTTTTTAAAATTTTGATCAAGTATGTTGTTACCATTTAAATGTAAATGTGACACTTGCATTTAATATTTTTACAGAAAAAATTGATCAGGAGTTTTGTTACTGAAAAGTATTATAAAAAACCTGGAATTTATCATACAAAGGTTATCATATCCCCCCATAAATAAGTTAGAGGATTTATATCAAAGTTTTCTTTTTCCTAGGCAAGTTTTTTTACTACAGTTACGGAGCTTTACCTTCCCTTATAATAGACTAGTTGAATTTCATGATCACGGTTTAGATTTTTAAAACTATACTGTAATGTGAAAAATATACTTTTATATAATTTATGTTGTTTTGCTAAGTTTTATAGTACTTCATTATTTTTTTTTAATTGATCTAATTTTATTTTTTACTTAATTTAATAATTTACTGCAAAAGAGTAATACAGCTCTTCTAATAATACTGTTTTATTATTATAATATTTGCTAAAATACTTTTTTTTTTAATATTTTATCCAATTGATTGTAAGTATTACTTAATTAGACATAAACGAGTGCCTTTTTACTGGAGCTGAATATCCATGCGATTCTGTTAGAGGTCATTGTAAGAATCGACCTTTTCCTGTGAAGTATGTTTGCTCCTGCCCAACAGGCTGGTCATTATCTTCGAAAAATACTTGTACTGGTTTGTACCTTTACACATTCTTTAGTTATTTATATCATATAAGTAATAGTATATTGTATATAATAAATATAAGATATGTCTATATATATGTTTACAAGTATTAACATGGTATTTATTATTGTATGCGTATATATGTGTATATATATATATATATATATATATATATATATATATATATATATATATATATATATATATATATATATATATGAGCATTTAGCCAAATTTTCAAAATGGTTAATGTCTGTATTAAAAATATGGTTGATAAAAATACGGTTGAAAAATATGGTTTATAAAATATTAAAAATATTAAAAATATGGTTGATAAAAATACAGTCGCTGTATTAAAAATATGGTTGATTCCTCTTTTGTTGCAATCATTTGTTACTTCTAATTATTTTATTAAATTTTCACAATTGAATCCACTTGTGTGAATTGGAGCCATTCTTGACTCCTAATAAAACAAATAGAAGCCAAAACCATGGCCCAAATAAAACAAAAAAAAGATTTAGAATTAAATGTCAGAAATTTTTGTTTTACAATTAAAACGTTTTTGGTCTTCGAGTAAAAAAATATTTCTTTGCCATAATTTTTCTGGTGAAACTGACAATTTTCATTAAATAAACATAAAATAACAAGGTCTTTGGTTAAATACTAAAGGTCTCAGTTAACCAATCAAATCATACCAGTTACAATATCTGAATCCTCTTCTTGATACCAATTGCAACTAAAAATAGATTGTCATAAATATCACATTGTGAAATTTTAAATATTCTTTCCACTGATATTTTTTCACCAAGGTAAATAAGAGTTAACTTAAAACTTGAAGGTAGATAAGAATTCAATTAATTCAAGATAGTCTTCTCAGAACTGAGTTTGCTTGATTAATTATTTTTGATTTGATGTCAGTAAGGCCACTCAAAAAAAGTAAATTTTGAGTAATCAATATAAAATCTTGAAAATTCAGCTTGGAAACGTTTAAAAATTGGTTCATCTGAACTCGTTCTATCTCCTCATAATGTGATTCTCAACAAAAAAAAAAAAAAAGTTTTGTTGAGATTTTTGTTTTGTTTATCATTTAACATTTGTAAATTTTTTTGTTTTATTTATCTTTTAGCCAGTTTTAATTGACAGAACTGTTTTCTCCCACATATATGCTCTTTAGCTATGCAAAGTTGATACTGATATGGACATCAAAAAATCCATTCTCACTCTAGCTTCTTGACATACTAAAACACCTAGATCAATGTTTTTTGTCATGTGATACTTTCTGCTACTTATTTGATCTTCATAAAATGCCCAATTTTCTTTTCATTTTGGTCTTTGTGACACCAACAGCAGTTCATTTGTATTTACTGCTGAAATAATGCAAAATTGCTCAAGTTCATTACAAAATCTGACAATTTTTTCCAGCAATATTTAAACTTAACTACTGAATTTTTCTTTATATTCACCATTTTTCTCAACAATTTTGTAAGCAATTAAAGGCAAGACCTATCTGATTGTATTGGTATTCCAGCTTTTTCTTAAACTTCCTTAAGCTCACCCAGAACAAGTTTAAATACATCTCTTGCAGAAATGAAGTGATTAAAAACATAAATGAGTGTATCTAGCTAACACACGTTTTTTTTTTGTTGGTTGGCAGTTGAAGCTTGGCAAATTATTGGATTCAGGAGGATCAGTTAACTAATCTTAGTTATTTTTCTGAGATTCATCATTATAATAAAATATTCACCCATCTAATTAATAGTTTTTAAAATTTCAATTTTGCTACTTTTCACATCCAACTTTTTTTTCATAAGTAGATGAAATTTTATATATATAAAAACAAAAGTTTATTTCATAATGCAAACTGTTTAATCACACAACAGCTGTGGTCAACCATGCTCAAAAATATATTTTGCATGCATTTCAACAAATTCCTTTAAAGCATTAAGTCTAAAGAAACAGTTTTTTGGTAAATAATATTTTAAAAATAAAACTAAATAGTACCGCAACCTCTAGACATTAAATTTTTTTTTGAAAATTTAGCCAGATATTTATCTGATAACCTTTGATAAATAAACCAAGTAAAATAGCAAAAAATTGAAAAATAAAAAAATTATTAAAAAAAGGACTTTAAATAAAATATATCAAGACATTTTAAGAAGCAGAAAAAAACTTTTTTAGTTATTAAGATTTGAAGCTAGTTTTTTTTTTTTTTTTTATTCAAGGTAAAAAGATAATTCAAATAAAAAGAAAAGTAATGTATCTAAAATAATGATAAAACTATCTTTTTTAAGTCACAGTGCCAAAGTTTGTTTTCCACATTTTCATTAATTTTTTTATTAATTCATATATTTATTTTTTAATTAGAACATAAAAAAACTATGAGCATTTGAATGTATTTAATAAAATACTTCAAAAATAAAAAACTAAAAGCTTTTATAATTTAAACAAAAATTCTATTTTATTTTTATTTTTTTAACAAATTTTAGTTGAGAATACTATATTTTATTTAAGGATTAAGATAAATGAATAGAAATAAATTTAACAAAAAAGAATACTTTGACAAGCTTTGTTTAGAAGCGTTACATAGCTCACATTTCAAATATAAAATGCATTCAGTTTTAAGCAAAAAAAAATTTTTTTTGTAATATTTAAGTTATTTATTAATATTATTTACGTGACATTTTTTCAGAAAATAATAAATTGTAAATAAAGCATTTATCCACGACTGCGAGTTTTTTAATGAAACATTTAAAAAAAAAAATTTTCAATTAAAAAACTTTGAATTAAATATGATTTTTAAAACTTGAGTTTTGAAGGAATGTAAAATAGTAAAACTTGAATGTAAAATTTAGTTTCAAAGGAATATAAAATAGTTATGCAATTTTTATTCAAGAAATTTTTTTTTTATTATCTGAAAACTCATTCTTTATATAAAACATGTATCTCCATCATAGGTTATTAATCTATGATGGAGAGACATGTTTTATATAACAAATTAGTTTTCAGATGATAAGAAAAAAAAATTTCCTGAATAAAAATTGCAAAACTATTTTACATTCCTTTGAAACTAAATTTTGCATTCAAGTTTTACTATTTTACATTCCTTCAAAACTCAATTTTTTAAAATCATATTTAATTTAACTTTAACCAACCTGCATTTTCATTTTTAAATATAGAGTTTTTTATAAAATGAATTTAAAATAAATTTAATGAAGATTAGAAAAAAAATATTTAAACTTTACATTTTAGGGTAAATCTAGAATGTTCCGAATATGGAACATTGTGTTGTTCCAGTTGCACAAGGCATATTTTAATTTGTTCCGTATACGGAACATCTGGCATTAAAAATACTATTTTAATTTTTATTTAACGCATGTAACATTTTATTTTTTGAAATAATTAAGTGTCAATATTGTAAAATGAAGTAATTTTTAAGTTATTTATATATGTTTTTAATCAAAATATTCTTAAACTTAAATTTTAATCATTGTGATGGTATTGATAAAAGCAATTAAAAGTTGGTTTTAAACGTAGAACAACTTTGCATTTTGAACATTGTACTGAGGATTTCAAATCACAATTTTTGTTTGCGCATCGATGTCTTCCTTTAATAAAATCTTGCTAATGATCAACTCTATTGTACCTTATATCGTCATTTACTTTCCTTCGCTTTGAAGTTGGACGAAAATTTTCTTCAATGCTACTCTTACTTGCAAGATTTGCTGCAGGTCTTCCTCGTCTCGGTAGATCTAACACCATTTTATTAGTCAACATTAAACTATAAGACACTTTTAGAATAAAGTCTCTTAGCAAAATATTCTTATCTTTACCATCTTTATTAACAATTATCGTGTATCAACCAAGCATTTGTCATTCACACGCTGAATAAATAGTATACTATGTGATCATAATACTTTGTACTTTTGTGATCAATACGATATAATAAATGGTACACATCACATAAGTCAACACAGCCCATGTACTTGTTGTACTCTTTAATAATTGTAGGGCATGCAATTTGAACTCTTTTTTTAGCTTTACCATCCAACGAATGATTGTTGACACTGGATCACTACCACATGAGATGACAACAAATTGACTGATTTGTTATCATTCCAACGAATCAAGCAAATACCATCATCTTTATTGACATACAATTCAATAGTTCCTCTTGGCTTTTTATTCAAAATTTGGCGTTAGTTTTATTTGAACTCTATTCAGTCTACCCATCTTTTTCATCTTGGCAACCCATCTTTTTCAAATCAATGGTCAGCATAGGAGATGCGAACTAGTTGTCAAAAAATATCTTGAAATTTTTTGATTTAGTTATATTTCTAACCAATTGCATCACAGTAGATGTAACAGATGGTTCTACTTTTTCAAAAATTGTTGAAGCAGTATTATTAAAGTTTGCTCCAAGCGTTCTTTTTGTTGGCGGTGTAGAGATTCAATTTACAGCTTTGTACCATATTGGTCTTCTTAATGGTTCACTGGAAGCTGATGCTGAAGTTTGAGGAAGTATGTTATCTGAGGTTTTTGTTTTTTGAGAGGGATTATTATAAAACCGAGATACTGTTATAGATGAACGAAATGATTTTTTAATGAGCTTAGATTGATCAGTAACTTGTACAATATTTGATGAAGCCATAGTGTTTTGTGTTACAGTAGAGATTGGTGCAATGTTTGTTTTCTCTGCGCCAGTATAAAGAAAAAAATCATAAATGATCCCAGATGTAGCACCGCACTGAGTTATGAATTTGAATCCCCATTTACAAGGTTTTTTTGGGTTGTATTGTCGCATAGAGGTTTTTTTACCTTTATAAGGAACAATCTGCTCATCAATACTATTATACTCTTCTGGATAATAGCGTTGCAATTTAGTAAAACATGATCATACAGTTTATGAAACTTAAACAATTTATCATAATTTTGATGATCTTTACCAATAAGATCACTATTACTTGCTATATGGAAATTATTTTTGATATCTTCAAATCGATTCCGTTGCATTGTATCAGCTATTTTTGAATATCTTGTATTCTGTGCCCAATACATACAAAAAGATGGTATTTAAATAACTCCCATATGGAACAGGATACCAATATATTGCTCAATTTTACTTGGTCTCACATTGATTGATTTAAGTGTTTTCTCTACAGAATAAATGTTAGTTAGGTTAGCTAAATGTTCAATCATATCTTTTTTTAAAAAATTGAAAAAAAATCAATTGGATCTACCAGTATGGATCTACCAGTATGGAACTTTTCATATTCTGGTATTTTACCAAAAAAATCTTTTGAGCCAGTGTTTATAAATTTTCCATTTAACCACTTAGCAAATTGTTGTTATTTTCTGCAAGAGCTTTATATTTTGCAGAAATTTTTTTAAGTTGTTTTATCTTTTTTTTTTTTTTGAGTTTAGCCTGTTCATTTACCCATTGTTCTGATGAATCATTGTCAAGTGTTTCGCTCTCAGGTGCTTCACCATCACCTAAATTAAGTTTTTTATTCAATTTAGATTGCATAATATAAATATTATAATCATCATCTAAATTCTCATTGTCCATATCAGATTCATCCGCAAATGGTAAATCACATATTATTGGATCTCTCTTTTTACTTTCTCTAAGATTTTTAATATTATTCATCTGAAATGAAAAATTATATGGAATTATGATATATATATATTTTTTTCGAAAAAGAATTTCCCCTCCCCCTTCCTCCCTCCCTCCAATATTCTGTATAAAAAACACAGTATAAAATGCGCATTACAATTGTAAATAATTTTAAAATTATTTTGAAAAAAACAACAAATCTGGAATTGTTCTCAATTGAATTGAACTCAAGTTTCTTCTTCTATAATAACCTTGTGTCATTTTAAATTATTCAAGTCACAACAAATTTACAGTTCTAAAATCAAGATAATCCAGTCAAACCAGTAATACAAAAGACTGGATCTTAAATTATGACAACATATTTATCCAATCAGTAACAAAAAAACGTAATAAATTATAAATGGAAGCCGTAATTAAATAATTCACTTTTAACAACGACCGGAACAACCAAATGTTCCATATACAGAACACACATAAATTGCTCTAGAAATATTGGAAAAAACAAAGAATAGTTTAATTTTCTAATAAATGAAGTTATTACACATAATTGTATAATAAAAAAATTATTTTAATACTTAAGTTAAATCTTTGGAAAAAATTCCAAAATCAATTTCAAATTTCATAAGTTTAAAAAAAAATAAACATTTATATTTTTACATATTTGTTTGCAACAATGTCATCTTTCTATAACTTTTTACAGAATAAAAAAATAATGATTACAAAAAAAGTTGTAGCATCTCAAAGATTTGTTCCGTAAACGGAATCATTGGTTGGTTAGGGTTAAAGTTTTTTAAAAAAAAAAAAAAATTATAAAATAATTTATTTCTTTAAAAAACTCACAGTTGTAGATAAATGCTCTTTTTAGAAATTAATATTTTAATTATATTATAATCATTATAATAGATTATAAAATGCAAAAGCAAATATATCTTAAATTTTTTATTTTTTATTAATTCATCATTGTGTAAAGATTTGATGTAATACATTTATGAACATAAATTATGTTTACAAATATCTTATTGGTAACTGATAAAATTTATCTATAAACTGTTTATAGTCCTTTATCAAAAATATGACATTAAATATGTAAAACCTAAAATAAATAATATGTGATTACGAAACAAAGGTAAATATAAAATTATTTTAATAAATAAATTATAAGGAAATATAATCTTTTTCAAATACTGAATTCAAAAACTCTTTTTATATTAGTTTAAATGATTTTTAACGTTGAAATTAAATTTAATTACAATGCCGTGCCTTAAAATACTTTTAAAATATCAATAGTTTTCAGGCTCCAGTAGCAAATAACATCTAAGTAATTACATCAAATTAAAAGTATAGGGTTCAAAGTACTTGTAAATTCTTTTTTAAAATTGTTAATATTTTGTTGTTGTAAAAAAGAGAGTCTAGTTTTTTTATAAAATAAGACCTTAATTCAAGTGAAAAAATAAATACATATATATATATATATATATATATATATATATATATATATATATATATATATATATATATATATATATACATATATATATATATATATATATATATATATATATATATATATATATATATATATATATATATATATATATATATATATATATATATATATATATATATATATATATATATATATATATATATATATATATATATATATATATATATATATATATATATATATATATATATATATATATATATATATATATATATATATAAATACAGGGCCTATTCTAGAAAAAAAATTTGGGCGGCGATACCTCCCGTTCCTTGCAAAACTTAGCGAAAAAAACATTGTTTGCCGTAAAAAATGTAAAAAAAAAAAAAAGGTCCTCAGATTTTCATTTGGGAGGCCTGTCAAAAACGGTCAAAAAAAATAGCCCCTGTGTAACTTAATGTTATAATTTACAGGTTAAAAAATACAAAAAATAAAATACTAAAAAATAGCCCCTGATATATATATATATATATATATATATATATATATATATATATATATATATATATATATATATATATATATATACACATATATATAATAAACCAGACCAGAAAAAGTTAAAAAACCTTAATTATTATTATTTTTTTCTTAAATGATAGACTGCCTGCCCAAATCAAACTCTCAGTCGATGTAGCAGCACTTTTAATGTAAAAAAATCGATACATCATTATTTAATGTTCTGTGTATAAGAACATGCTTTACCCCTTTTGCTACTCCCATCTCGTTTTATTCCTTATATATATATATATATATATATATATATATATATATATATATATATATATATACATATATATATATATATATATATATATATATATATATATATATATATATATATATATATATATATATATATATATATATATATATATATATATATATATATATATATATATATATATATATATGTATATATGTATATATATGTATATGGTCTCAAAAGAAGCAAAATGTTATCGTTTCTGATGAAAAGAAGTTTAAAAAAAGATTAAACAAAAACCAAGATTTTTTTTTTTTTCTATTTTTTATTAAAAAATGATAAAAATGGTTTTTTTGCAGTATAACATAAAATATTAGTTTTCATATAAAATAGCAATAACAATATGAATTTGAATTTGTTTATTCATAAATCAAAAATTTAAAAGCCATTTAAAAAAAAACCATCATAAAAGAATAAAGTTTGAACTGTAAGCTTTGATGAAGTAGAGCAGCATCAGGCACCACTATGATGACGTAATTTGGGACACACAGTGTATCCTGGTTAGTTTTGAAAATGCATCAAATTGACTTTTAAAAATTTTCGTAGAACTTGCATTGACTGCATTTGCTGGTAGCCCATTCCATTTGTTAACAACTCAATTAGTAAAATAATTTTCTTGTTCTTGGCAAGATTACACATTTTGCCATGATAGTCGCTGATTATGTCCACGCAAATTATAATCTGATAGCAATTGGGCATATATTTGAGGAACTACAAAAGTTTATTTTTTCTGTTTCGTTGGTGATTTTATACTGTTGAATGAGGTCGCCCCTTTTTCGGTCTTTCCTTGTAGCTTTTGAGTTTTATCTCGCTTATTACCTTTATTACTCGCTGTTGAATGCATTCAAGTGCTTTTATGTCACTTTTTAGGTGAGGAGACCAGGCTTAGATAGCATACTCGAGATGAGGTTTAATGTATGTTATGTAGAGTACCCTCCATGACATTAGCCCTCTTAGCGAAAAGATTTTTTAGTTTGCCAAGTACTTGGTCTGCTCTAGCTGCAGCAGCTTCTACTTGATGCTTAACTTTGAGGTTGTTTGATGTTAGAACACCTAAGTCACGTTCAATAATTGTTGTTCCAAGTTCTATTCGATTACCATATATATCAAGCATTGAGTAAAGGCGTACTGATTTATTTGAGTAACCAACATGGATGACTTTACATTTGTCTAGATTGAAATACATGAGCCACTTTTTAGACCATTCGACTGCATGATCTATGTCTTGTAGTTTTATTGCTTCATCTTCTGCTTTGATTACCGCTAAAATCTTACAATCATCTGCGTAGATCTCTATATGATGCACTATGTTGTGTTGAAGGTTGTTTATATAAACCAGAAACTTTAGAAAAGTGGACCTAACACAAGTTAACATAAGTGTTGCACTTTGTTATATCGAGATAAAACTTATTAGCTTCTGTTGTTGGTTTGTTATTTACTCCATTGATTTTGTCTCGAAGATCATTGATCACTTTGTCATGATGATGTTTGATTTGGGTTATAACTGCCATTAAAGTAATTTTGATCATATCAACAACTTTACTAGTGTAGTTTTTGTCAATGCATCATTATTGATAATTACTCTCATTTTAGCCTGCTCTAGGGCCTAATATCTTCAATAGATTTCTCCTTGATTGCACTCATTAATTGTTGTACTTGATTTGCAATTGTGTACACCAACTAAAATCTTTTCTAAGAGGGCTACCACTCTACAGCAGTAGATTATTCCCAGGACGTGAAATAATTCAATATATTTAATATTCGTTCTTTCTTATTACACAGGGACTAAAAAGTTTCAGTATGTATTTTTTTCCGTTTTAAAAATTTTTTAAAATTGTACATATCTTTTTTTGAAGGTAAATATATGTATATATAAATACATAACTTAATAAGAAATATTTTTCCAATAGATGTTAATGAGTGCTTAAACTGGTGTAATGGAACAAATAGTAGATGTATAAACCAAGCAGGTGGATTTCAATGTATGTGTGCTGTTGGATATGCTTATTCTAATGTTACCCATCAATGTGAACGTGAGTAAAGTTTTACTGGAATTAAAATTAGAAATTGAATGTGATTGAATAAAGTTTTAAATAATTTTATCTTTTATAAAATATTTGTTTATTAAGCAATTAATTATAATTCATATTTTATGCAAGCAATTTATTGTAATTTTTATTCAAATTAATATAAACTATATATAACGAACCATATATAACAGACTCATTTAAGAGTTATTATTTTGAGATATTGTTTTTATTAAATAAAAAGTGCATCTTTTTCAACTGGATCAGGAAAACTCAGGGAATGTCAGGGAATTTACTTAGTGGTCAGGGGAAGCAAAACATAAATTATTTTTCAGGCTATAAAATATTTTTGAAGTTTTCTATTTTTAGAAAATTTAATAATCTACCATCAAATGTTCATTAAAAAAAAAATTTAATTATTATTTTAAATAATTGTAGACCTAAATAATTTTTAGGCTTTAACAAGTTTTTTATTTTATTTTTATTTTTAATATTTCTCTTAAATTTTTAAAGTTTTTACATTTTGTCTATGTTAATTTTATCTATGTTATTTTAAGTGACCCTGATTGATAGAGCATAAATTATATTTATATATTTACATAAAATTGTATAAAAATTATCAAACATTAAATTCTTTTGTTTTATACAAGTAATGTAGACTCAATCAGTATTTGTTCTATAATGTTCATTTTATTTTTGTTGTTTTATTTTGTTCCTTTCCAGATGTAACAAAATTGAACTATTTTTACAATTATTGCTTGAATTCATTGAGATGTAAAACACCAGTGGACACTCAAGCAAGATTAAGACTATGTAAAGTTGATATAGCTTAAGCATGTTATTTATTGATACAGTGATAGCTCTGTTACCATTAATGTTAATACATTTTAGACAATGTTTCCAGACTACAAGGTTGCATCTCTGATAGAATTTGGCAAATACAATTTAAAATACATTGTGAACTATGGAATCTTACCAGTATACCTGATTCATAGATTTGTATTTTTAAAAGAAAACTTTTAAAAATACAAATCTATGAATCAGAATTACTGGCTATTAGTCATGATGAAAGGTTGAACAAAGACATTAAAAAATCTGATATGGATTTAGCAGTGAGATTTTAAAACAATCTTAGCAACAATGTTAAAGTGCTATATTGGGATTCTTTGTTTATTGGACATGCTACTGCTACAGAATTACTTAAAAGAATAAATATGGTTTGGATTTATCTAAACAAGTGCAACTATTGATGGATGGTCCTAATGTGAACTGTTCACATTAAGACCACCCATCGTTTTTCACTGAGATGGTTTTGATAATAAAGTTATTTATCTAAAAATAAAAGATAATAATTTCTGATTTTCAGCAGAAGAAGAACTTCATTATTTATTAGGTAAAGATAAATCAAAATCTGTTGGTAATTGTTATATTAGAGAAAGTTATTTAAAAAAAGTCAAAATCAGTGCCTGATATGAAAAGCAAATGTGTTTGATCCAATTTTCTAGTTACCTAGTACTACCTTTTCCTAATCACCTAGTTTCCACAAGTCAAATCATGAAGCAAGCGGAAACAACACTTGTCTTGTCTAGTTTTTAAAGATTGTTAATGCGACTTTAGCAGAGTAAGTTTTGCCACAATATTTAGATCTGTTGGCAATGTTATCTCAAGATTCTGAAAAGGTGAAATCTTTCAGTTATGTGGATAAATTTTTTTCATAAGTTCTTTATCAATATACCAAAGGACTTAAATTATGCAACAACATTGGTTTTAGTTACAAGTCATGGTCAAGCAAGTGTATAGAGAGGATTTAATGTTAATAAGATTGTAACCAAAGTTAGTTTGAAAAAAAAGATCAATGATATCAAGAAAGATAAAAGTAAAGCATATGCAAAAGAACAACTTGATGTCTTCAACAATAGAACTAACAAACAAGTTTATAAAGTTTGTAAAAAGTGCCCACCAAAGATATTAGCTAGATCTTGATTAAGAGAATAAGAATGTCAAGAAAAAATCTACCCAATCATCAATTAGAATTTTAAAACCAGATAAATCAGTGATGTAGTTAAGAAAAAATATTTCATACTAGATTTTAGCATGAATTTAGACATTAAGTTTATTAACATCATAAAAGAGGAAGAAAAAAAAAGTGAGTCTTAAAAATGAAGATTAAAAATGGGATTAGTATTTAAAGGAAACGATTTGGAAAAAAAGATTGAAAAAAATCTAATTAAAATTAAAATTTCGCAATAAAAAATCAAAATTTTGGAATAAAAAAAAAGAAAACAATGTGAAACAATATTTCTTTAAAGATATTACTTTACTGTAGCTATTCCTTTTCTTTACAAAATAATTGATTTTTAAGATAAGGATAAGATAAGTTTTTCACTTTTTTTGTTTGATAAACTTTAATCTTTTTTCCATATTAATTTACAATATAGAAAAAAGATTAATTACTTTAGTATGTGAAACTTTGAGAATATTTAGTCGTAAATAGAACTATTTTTTAAATTAGTTGTTGTGAAGTGTAAATAAATATAATTAATAATTTGAATAAATTGAATAATTGTGAAGTGTAAATAAATAAAAACCTTTAATTGAAAAACATTTAAATGTTTTTTATTATATATGTGAGTGTCAATGCATGCCAATGTGAGTTGTTTTTTTCTGGAAACTTTTTATAATTATTCATATATATATATACACCTGCGTATTTGAAAATATAAAAATTAAATAACTGAAATAATTGACAAACAAAAAGTTTGGAGGTCCAGTTAAAGGAAAATCTTATTAAAAGGAGAATAGTCCTTTGAAGAGCAGTTAAAATCTTTTGAAGGAATGTGTTATCAGATATAATCTCATCTAAATTGTCAGAAAGTATGAATAGAAGATTTTAAAAACCAAACTATTTAAGATCATAGAAGGATCATAGAAGATGTTGAAGAGCAAACTATTTAACACTCGATCGATTGATAACAAACGATAACGATCGATAACGAACGATCACGGGTGTTAAAATGTAAACTAATTGAGATAAAAGAAAGATCATATAAGGTGTCATAGAGCAAACTATTTAAGATCATTGATCTCATCTTAAGCATATTCATCTGGCAAAAATGATTTATAATAAAATATATAAATATAAAAATAAAGACAATTTTTTTATAATAATTTATAATAATAAAAGTAATAAAAAGTCGCTGTTTTTAATCTTACATTAATTTGATTAGCAAACTATTTAAGGCATTACCATTCTTTGACAATCCTATTAAACATAATCATTTGGTAAAGATGTATTGTTAGTTCTGGTTAAATATTAATTTTATACAGTATATACAACAAGGCAGTTAATAGTCATAATAGGGCAGTTAATAGTCAGTACTAATTTCAAATTTTTTAGTATATATATATATATATATATATATATATATATATATATATTATATATATATATATATATATATATATATATTTATATATATATATATATATATACATATATATATATATATATATATATATATATATACATATATATATATATATATATATATATATATATATATATATATATATATATATATATATATATATATATATATATATACATATACATATAAATATATATATACATAAATATATAATTTAAATTGTATATATATAATTTATATATATATGTATATATTTCAGCGTCTATATTTTTTATATATATTGTAATATAAATGCATACATGATTAACATATTATCAACATTATAGTTAATGCAGCTTTAATGTAAATTCTATTTATATAGTATTTCATTTGGCTTATACATAATATATACAAGGTATGTACAATAACAACCACATTTGGTTCATTGGTTTATAAAGTTAAATTCTTTTTTTTAGAAGTCAATATGTGTACCTTAGGTTTTCAATGTCCTAATAATTCAGTTTGTACCATGACAATACCTGGGTCAGTTTCATGCCAATGTTTAAATGGATTGATTATGGATTATAGTAGTAATTGTGTTGGTAATTACTTATTCAAATATTTAATTTCTTAGTAATTATTTATTGTTAGCATTTTTTTCAATAAGTTTATAGTCACTTTGCTTTTTTTCTTATTGACTTTATATATAATTGAAAAATATATAACAAAGAACCTTAAATGCGGATTTTTATATAAAAACTTTGCAATTGTTTAGAGATAAACAAATGTAATGATCCAAACATATGCTCTGATAAACCACATTCAAGGTGTGTGAACAAACAAGGCATTGAAATGTGGAGTTGTGAATGTCTTAATGGTTATCAAGCAGTTGGTAATTTTTGCACATGTAAGTAATAAATATAAAAATAATTTTTATTAAAATATGTTTTATACTTGTTATCAAAAAATTTTGAAAATTTTAAAGTTTATTGACTTCTTTAGTAATTTTAGTGGATGAATGTAAAATTGCTGAGCAAGCAAATAAAAGTTTATGCAAATTGAATCAGCAATGCATAGATACTACTTCAAGTTTTGAATGTATATGTTTGACTGGTTTTAGTTTAATTTCTACTGGTGACTGTGAAGGTAAATTCAAAATTATTATAAAACATTTTTAATTTTTTAATTATAGATACATACATACAGTTCTTTCAAAAAATATTGGTACAATAAAATATTTAGTTCATTTTCTTTTTTAAAACATAAAAACCCATCCACATTTGCTAAAGACTTTATTTTATTTTATTTATTTATTTTTTTTGATTATTTTGAGTTTTGCTACAACTAACATACCAATAACAAGTTCACTTTTTTTTAATAATTTGTTTTTAGTAAAAGAAATTATAAGGTGCACAAACTTTTTATTTAATTTCGGTTTTACTTTTTTAATTAGCTGTTCATAATTATTTTATTTGTTTAAATATTAATTTTTATTAATAAATAATTTTTCTTATAAAAGGTTTGATAAATTTACCTATGATAACCAGCTAATTACATTAAAACCATTTTTAGACATTAAAATCTTTTTTAGACATTAAAATCTTTTTAAGTGTTTTAAGCTAGAGATTGCGTCGCAAGATTAAGGTAGTGTAAGAAGAAAATTGGGTGATCTTTCGAAAAGTGGTTGCTTCCACTTTTCCAAAGATCACCCAATTTTCTCAATTTTTAGTTATAAAAGTAACTTTGAATTGATAAATAGAAAAAGTTCTTGTAAAAAGATTCAATTTGGAAAGTTATAGTAATTTTTGTTGTTGTGCTGAGGTTGCAAGGTGTCAGCGGATGTGTTGGTATTTAGGGCTGCTTTAATTTTAATGGATTAGGTAACATTTATATAGGTCGAATCAACCAACATATATATATAGAGACTAGAGCACTGTATGGTTCCATCAATGGGCATCCTGATTTAACGAAACAAATAGTTGCAATTTCAACAAGGTTTGGCCCCTGCCAAATCTTGTTGAAATTGCTTGTACAGTAAAACATAGGAAAAAAAAAAAATGTAGATTTATTACCCTGGCCAATTCAATTACCAGATTATATCAAATCAAATTGAGATTGGATGGACAAAGAATTATTCAAGATTCAAATAAATCCATAAATAGCCTAAAACAAGTTTTAGAGATTTGCATGTGGAGATGAGTTCTAAACAAAGTTTGCAACACTCTTTATAAATTGATGCAAAAAAAATGTTGTTGCTACCAAAAAAGCTCGGGGAATGGGGGAGGGTTATTTTAAATACTAGTTTAGATGTTATTTTTGTTGCATTAATTTTTTATATATCGCAGTTTTTTTATTATTTTTTATAATTATGTTCAATAACTTTTTATATCCAGTTTTACGTTTTAGTATGTCATCTAACATGCATTATTTTTTTAAAAAAGTTTTATCTCATAGATAAAAAAAACCTGTTCAATCTCTTCTTTAATTTAAATTTTCTTAATTTTCAATTAATTTTCAATTTAGTTTAAATTAGCTCAAGCAGCAAAATTTTAATTCTTTTTTTTTGGAGGTACTGTACATATACTACACCACTAATTTTAACATTGTGCATACATTACTACTTTGTTATGCACAACTAATATTTACATTTTTAAATTCAATTCAAGTTAATTTAATTTCTTTTTTACTGAATAGATTTTAAATACTTTGTTATGCTTTCTATGTTTTTAATTGGCTATATTTGCTGTATACATATTTTTAATAAAATATTAACATTAATTGGCAAGGTTGTTTAATATTGCAACTATTATCACTAAAGTACCACTACCATGGCAGCATAACTGCATCTATGAAAAAATTTGTTCTTCATGTACCATGTTTTTAATTAGTTTTTCTTTTTAACAGATATAAATGAGTGCATATTAAATAAAACTGCTTGTCAATCCAATGCTGATTGTGTAAACACATATGGAAGCTATTACTGCAAATGCAAAATAGGTTTTGTTGCAGACAATATTATCAATTCTTCTTTGATGCACTGCAATGGTTAGTTATTTTTTAAAAGTTATATATATATATATATATATATATATATATATATATATATATATATATATATATATATATATATATATATATATATATATATATATATATATATATATATATATATATGTATATATATATATATATATATAAATATATATATATATATATATATATATATATATATATATATATATATATATATATATATATATATATATATATATATATATATATATATATATATATATATATATATATATATGTATATATGTATATATATATATATATATATATATATATATATATATATATATATATATATATATATATATATATATATATATATATATATATGTATATATGTATATATATATATATATATATCTATATATATATATATATATATATATATATATATATATATTTAATAATAATGTGCATATTATACTGTGGTCTATTTATAAGATTTTGGGTTTTTTCATTGATTTATCGAAAAAACAAAAAGTCTTACTTTTGATAAAAATAAACTTTTTTTTTTTACTAAAGCTGCTGTAAATAACTATTTTATCATGACATCAATGAGATTCTATGCAAAGCTAAATTTGCATTTTTAAATATGTTTTAATATACATATATATATATATATATATATATATATATATATATATATATATATATATATATATATATATATATATATATATTTGTCTTTAACAGGCTGTTCTCTTTTTGTATGCTTAACTTAAATTGTGTGTGTGCGTTTATATATATATATATATATATATATATATATATATATAATATATATATATATATATATATATATATATATATATATATATATATATATATATATATATATATATATATATATATATATATATATATATATATGTATATATATGTATATACACAGTATCGAACAAAACAAGTGCAACAAAATAATGCTAATTTAGTTTCTTTATATAAATGTGCTGCATTTTTTTAATTTATAGAAATAACTATGTAACTGTTTCAAGACAACGTTCTTTAAGTTTTATTTATCACAAAGTTCATTATTTGTACGTGAAAATTAATAAATTAATCAAAAGTATTAAAAAAAAGTTGATTTCTTTCTAGACAAAACAAGTGCAACTCCACAAAACGTTATCCAAGCTGTATTTTGCTATCAATATTTTGTGACAAATCCTTTGTTGTCGATCACAGCTTTGTATCTTCGAGGCATAGATTCGATCAGGTGATCAATGAAACTTTGCAGAGTCGCTGCCCAAGCCTTTTGGATTTGTTCAAACAGTTGATTCTTATTACGAACACCTTCACGATTAATTCTGCGGTTGACCATCTTCCACAGGTTCTTGATAAAGTTGAGATCCGGAGATTGAGGCAGCCAATCAATCACCGATAGTGGTTGTCTTGAAACCACTGCTTTACTATTTTTGCAGTGTGTTTCGAATTGTTGTCTTGCTGAAAAACCTGCTTTATTGGCATCTTTCATTCAGCATGTGGTAACATAACACCTTTCAGGATATTTTTATATATACGGTTTTATGGCAGTAACGTAAATTGAGGCGTTTTACGGCCGGTCAACATACACAACAAATGTCATCGCTCCCAATGATGTTGAACTTCGATTCATCACTGAACAGGACAGTTCGCCATTTCTGCACATTCCAGTCAATATGAGATGTAGAAAAAGCAGGAGTCTTTTCTTCTGGTTCTTTAGTGAAATCAGCGGTTTCCTTGCAGGGCGTTGAGAAAACAATCTGGCTTCAACAGCACGTTGTCTGGTTGTTCGGTCTGATACAGGCAGCTCTAATTGCTTTTGTATCTTAACTGATGATTTCCAGGGATCCTTTTTGATGGATCTGACCATCAAAGAATCCTCTCTAGAAGTAGTGGAACACAGTCTTCCACCTTTGTTATCTACTGCCAACTTCCCCGTAGAATGATATTTGGAACATAGTCTTGATACGGTCCATTTTTTCACGTAATATTTATCACAAATACTTTTTTATGACATTTATGTAATTGCCAATAGTTTTCTTTCTTCGTTCCAATCCAAGACTGTCGGGAGCCATTTTTGCACTCAAAGTCATAAAAATAATAAAAATAAATAATCACGCTTCTTAAGGCTTACCGTGTTACATTTACTTTATGATAATGCAATAATGCTCTGTGGAACACAACGTCTTGATTGGATGTGGATTGTATTGATGTAATGAAACACTCGTTATATTTCATTTCTTGTATTGATGTTCTTCGATAAAACACTCTGACAAAACTCACTTCGATAAACTGTTTTGATAATACTGACTGATTGACTTCCATATACTGACTGAACTACATGTTGGTTTTTATGTCTCTTTTATAGTAAAATGAACCTTTGTGAACCTGTTCTGGAAGATTCTAGATGCTTTTTTTCGATGCTTCTCGAAGCTTCTGGATGTGTCTGGATGCTTCTGAATGTTTCTGGATACTTCTGGATGATTTTGGATGCTTCCAGATGCTTCTTCTGGAAACTTCTGGAAGCTTCTGCATGCTTCTGGAAACTTCTGAAAATTTCTGGGTACTTCCTTTAATTATTAAAAAACTTTAATGATGTTGATACGGACCAAACTTAAGAAAATGAAACAAACCAAAAAAGCTGCACTTGTTTTGTCCGCTGCAAAATGGCACTTGTCAACAAAATTCTGCCTGTGTGCTGTCACCTGTCAGCTGATTGCTCATTTCATGGGATGCTATGACTCCAGACTCCTGAACCATTTGCTGTGGTAGTATAGTTTGTTTCGTTTTTAAGACATGTAAAATTAGGAACACTTTTTAGCATTGTTCAATGTTGGTTGCAAATGTTTTTTCCAATACTATATATATATATATATATATATATATATATATATATATATATATATATATATATATATATATATATATATTTAACACTGTGATTTTAAAAATTTCTTTTTATATAAACTATAAACTATATAGATTAGCAATTGCTTCCTTTTTTTTTCCATGGGGTCTCCACTAGCACCTGTTCTTGCCAATTTGCTTATGGGTCATTTTGAAAATGATTGGATTAAAAATTACAATGGTGTTAAGCCAGTTTTCTATAAACGATATGTTTAAGCCATTTTTGCTGCTTTTCAGTCAGAAAATGAAGCATGTATTTTCCTTTATTATGTTAATAGTACAGTTTTAAATTTTTCAAATGACAAGAAGTGAATTTTCAAAAATCCTTCTTGGATGTAACTTTGCACAAAATAAATAAAACAGTAACTACTACAGTTTTTTATATAAAAACCTTTTCTGGTCTACACACCAACTTTTATAGTTTCACTCCGCTTTCGTACAGAGTTAGTCTTATCAAATGCTTTATTGATAGAACATGTAAAATCAATATTACAAATCTAGGGTTCAACTTTTGAACCCTAGATTTGTTATATTTCAAACAAACATGTATTCATTTTGGCTAATATCGAAAATATATAAATCTTTTTTAAACAAAATTAACACAAGCAATTTATCACAACCAAAAAATCAAAGAATCTTTTTCTTACTTTAAACTAACATTTTTAGGAAAAATATCTGATTTAACTAAAAAAAGATTGAATTCAATTGTTAAAAGATATTGCTGTTCTGTAAATTTTTAACTAGTTTTTGTTTCCCTAAAAGTTTCAAAATTTTTCTCCTCTAAAGATTCTATTCCTCTAGAGTTCAAATTGTTTGTGTGTCGACAAATTTGTATGTGTAGAATGTAACTCCTGTTATATAGGCAAAACTACTCGCCATCTCAAGACACAGATAACTTAACATTCTCAGAAAGACAAAAAATCACTTATCTATAAACATCTCCATGGTAATGAAAATTGTTTTATGCAATTAAATAAAAAGTGTTTTTTTTTTATATTTTAGATTCAGCATCTAATAAGTTCGAATTGAAACTTAAAGAAAGTATGTAGATAGAATGGTTAAAACCTAGTATGAACAAAAAGGTCAACCATGTCTAAATGGCACTTTCTGTTTAGTTATTACTTTCTATATATTTTTTTATTAACCTATTCTTTTGTCACTTATAATTCGTTTTTTAGTATGGCTTGTTATTCTTATAATAGACTTGTTGTATTTTGGTAATTGAAGTAATAGTCTATACACAAATAATTACATTTTGTATCGGTATTTTAAAAAATCACTGGAAACAAGAGCCATCCATACTACAGATACCCAGAAGTAATTAATGCACAGAGGGCGCAATCAAAGTAATGGAAGAAATTTATTCATCGTGCAAAAATAAAGACATATTGCACCTTCGATTCCTTCTGTGCAGCAAGCAAGAGCAAGGTCAACAGTCTGAGTCATTGTTGGATTGAAAATTTATTGTATTACATGACTATAACATTCTAAATACATTTAATTACATAGTAGTACTTATGTCAAAATCGATTTTTCAATGGTGGGGTGAATTTTTTTTGAAAAGATATGCAAAAAATCGTTCATTTCATGTTTTTTAGGTAAAAGTTCATCAAACTTCAGTACAGGAGCATGCGGTTGATAAAAAGTCATAACCCTAATAGGTACATTTAGCCACCATGGAATATAAAAAAACTGAACAATCTTTTGTAGCTAAGTAAGTTATTATCTAGCAAAAACTGCTCATTTAGGTAGCTGACTGATTTTCTTGTTTAACAGTACAAGTTTTATAGGGTATAACAATTTTCACATCCACCTTGCATTGTGCAAAGCACCCTGTCTATTAAATCCAGAGAAAACTACATTTTTCTGATTACTTTAATTCAACAAAGTTAATTGAATGAGTTCTCTATATTCACCTCTATTGAAATTTTGACCATTACTTCTTGGCAAAGATTGGTTATAAGATATTTTTTGTTTATCAAAGACTGGGAAATTTGAGGGATGTCAAGGTCTTCAATATTTTGGCAAATTAAAAATTGGCAAGTTTTTCTTATATCTAAAAACCAAACAATGCAGTCATTATTTTTATTGCATATACAATTGATGTTATTTAATTTATAAATATTAAATAAAAATAAAATGTTTTACTAAATGCACATAAATTGTATTGCTATAAATCAAATACCAATATTAGATCACATTACAAATAGATTGATATCGGGATCTTTTGAAACAGAGATTGATATTGGGATCTTTTTGAGTATTATTTCTGCAAGGAAGCCATAGAACTAGCCTGTTCAATATATTTTCGATCAAAAGACAGCTTGGAGTTATAGCCCCGGTGTTTGAAGCTGTTGTGTCAAAAACCTTGCCTGCCACACAATCTGTACAACTTCACTCTTCCAGTAGCTCATATAATGCTATTGCAATGATTGGTTCCATCTTCTCGGTGGATTTATATGGCAGCGCTAGTACACTCAGTAATTTTATACCTGAACATCCTGAATGTAAATAATTTTCAAATCAGAACCAATTATAACTGATTTGATAGTAAATATACTGACTTGATAATAATTCTTTATTAATTCTTTATAAATTGAGAACTCACACAAATTTTATTTTATATGTACCTGAATAAAGAATAAGAAGCCTTTCTTCCCTAACATTTTTGTTGTCAATGGAATCGATTAACTTGCTATCCCAATAAATTGGGATTACACCAACCTTTTGAGTTTCCCAGGATTTTCATTAATTTTATCATTGATGCCTTCCTATCAGTTTTAGTTATTTTATTATTGATGCCTTCCTATCAGTTTATCATTAATTTTATCACTATATAAATGATGCCTTTTTATCAGTCTTCATGCTAATCAGAAACTGAGTATCCTATGCATCTGTTTATATAATCCGTTTATTTATTCTGCATCAATTTATATAGCACATTTTGCATCCAGAACTTAACCATTTTTTTGAGTTTATCCTCAAATCCACTAAATTTTTGGGTATTCTTCTCAATGTTTCTATGGATACAGTCAATTTTCAGCAGGTTTTTTAACTCATCAAATAGTGTCATGATTTCCTCTCCTATTTTACATGGTTTAATTTTTTGTATTCTTGCTTGGTTATAAAATGGTAGAATTGGATTACCTGTTTCATTTGCAGTCTCTTTCAGTTTTTGTGGGGAAGAGTGCAAAAAAACATAAAAGTACCTGACAAGCAGTTATCAGCCTAAATCCTTATATCTTTGTCAGATTTAATAGAGATAGTTTCTAGTATGAAATATCAAGGTATTTCATACTATACTTTTGATTTAGCCTTTTATACTTACCTAAACTGTCAATAATTTAAGTTTTATATTCTTTCTAAACAAAAATTTAATAAATTTGTCTGTAAAATGACTATAAACAACAGCGTGAATTAAAAAAATTCAAAAAAATTTGGATAAAACTGTTTAACTGTTTATTTTGTTAAAAGAAATTTCAGATTTTTGGTAAGAATAGTAAAAAGGAAAAAGAACATTAAATAATATAATATTTCAAATAACATAATAGTAGGTTAACACTTTCTACTGAATTTTGGAAAAATTGTGTCAATCTTGAAACTGCTACCACTAACCATTGTTATTTTATATATAAGGGATGTATCTATATGTATGTAATGCATTAGAAATTGGTTTATTAACTTCAATTATTTTTGCTTCAGCCATTCTTACAAACTCGTTATACTTACACTTAAAGTTTTTTTTTTCTGTAAAATACTAGTTAAAAATATAAAGGCCACTCACTAAACATCATCAGCGATATTGTTAAGCAGTTCCGCTTCCTCCTTACAAAGTAATTAAACGTTTTTAGTTAATTTCTATCTAGCTAATTAAATTTCTACAGTAACTCAATGATTTAGTTATTTCATTTGTTCATCTTACTAAGAAGAATTGTTTCAAATATGTTAAACTTTTCAAACTACGCGAAGCATAAAACATAATTAAATTTAAGCATAAAACATAATTAAATTATGTAGCGTTAGTTTTATTGGTTTAATCTTGTTGGACTTTACAGGGCCGGGGGCTGCATTATTTTGGTGGCCTTTTTTATGTGCAACAGCGTAAAAATGACTTAAATATACCGATAGGTCCTCTTAACTATTTCTCGGCCCATAACATTGTGTGTCCCGGGACTATAGCTCTTCTACCCCCCTCCCCTATATATATATATATATATATATATATATATATATATATATATATATATATATATATATATATATATATATATATATATATATATATATATATATATATATATATATATATTTATATATATATATATATATATATATGTGTATATATATATATGTATATATATATACATACGTATGTATGTATGTATGTATGTATGTATGTATGTATGTATGTATGTATGTATGTATATATCTTATACTGCTGAGTTAGGTGAGCATGATGATGTCATATTCACCTAATGTCAAATAGCCTGCTGCCGGGGGCTTCAGTACATACATCGACTGACAAATAGCCTGACTCGCCATGGAGTGCTGCTACATCGACTGAGGGTTTGGTATGGGTCAGCAACCTTTTTATTCATTATTCTTCGTTTTCCCTCATCGTTTTCTAAAAACGCTCACTTAAATTAGGCTAGCAAAAAAAGTGAGCAATTGCGCATATAAATATGCTATAGTAGATATATATATATATATATATATATATATATATATATATATATATATATATATATATATATATATATATATATATATATATATATATATATATATATATATTGAAGGCCTGATAAAGTTTTAATACTTTAAAAAAAAATTATTGTATTTGATAGTTTGCCCACACCAAAACCCTCTGTCAATCTAGCGACATATTTTACCTATTTAAGTCAATCAATGTGACATTTGCCTATATCTATGTGTTAAGCTCTCTTGTCAAACCTTTTATTCCGCAGGACACCTTTAAGTCCGCAAATACAAAAAAAGATGATTTGTTTAGTTAGACAATCTGCCCAAACCCAAACCCTTAGTCAATATATGCACATTCACTGTGTCTATGGCTAAATAAATCAGGCGATGTATGTACACTGAGAAGCAACTATCCCTATATATTCTAATTTGTCTATTCCCTCAAATCCCGGTTTTTGGATGCCAAGAATGCTCAATGTCAGAATAGAGGTTTAAAAAGAGAAACTACATATGTGTGTAAATAATTACAATAAAATAAAAACTAAAACATTCTGAATTAAAAAAACAACTATCAATTAAGTCAATTAAGCTTTTTTGTGGTTTTTAACAAAATTATAAAATTTAATTAGTTTGCCTGATTATTTTAATGGTTTCTACATAATGTTTACTTGATTTTGTCAACTTTAAACACAAAAAGTTGTTAAGAGATGTTTTTTATCATAATTGGTATATACAATTATGTTAAATATAGGGTATATACTTTTTTTTTCTTTCTTTTAATTATATAATTGTTTGCTTAAATTAAAACCCTCAATTGACATAACTTCACTCCACTTATTGCTATATTTGTTGATGTATGTACACTCCTATGTGCCAATGGTTATATCAATGTATGTACACTTTGCATAAAAATAAAAATAAAGAAATAAAAATTATAAAAACGAAAAACATACAAATATAAAAAACTATTTACCAATAAGTATAAAAGATTAGTCATTAGAGTTTTCTTTTTCTTTTCGTTTTTTTTTTTTTGAGTTGTTTAAAAAGATGAGAGAAAAAAATATATGCAATTATAAGTATATTTATACTATAAATATTGGGCTGTGGCCAATTTATGTACACACACACACACACACACACACACACACACACACACACACACACACATATATATATAAAACTATAAATGTTGGTTTTTAATAAGCTAATGAAAGTATCTGGAGTTCATGGGAGCAAATGGGTACATGCAGTGAACTATGTTCAACGGATGATAAACAAGGAAAAATAAAATTTCAAAGACGTTGTTTAGCAATTGACTTCAATAATTGCAATGGACAATTTTTAAAGGAAGAACACTGCAACTCTGAGTATTGCCATAATAGTAAGTTTATCATTTATCTATATAAATCTAAAGAATGTAAATATTACAGTGTCTATATATATATGTATAAGTATATATATATATATATATATATATATATATATATATATATATATATATATATATATATATATATATATATATATATATATATATATATAGTATTTTTTTTAAAAACTATGTTAAATCTGTGAACATTAGATTCGGTTTTCTGTTACTAGTAAATAAATTCTAAAAAAAAAGTTCTCTAATCAGTGATGATTTTTCAATACTTTACATAACTTGTGAGAAATTTGATTTGTTAACAATTAAAAAGATTTTTCAGAGTTTAAGTAGATTTGTGACAAGTTAGGAAAATTTGTGAGAAGTTGCAAGAATTTGTGATTGCAAATTTGTCAGATTTTGTTTTATTTTTATTATTAAATTTTACTTATTAATAAGTTATTTATTTAGAAATATAAAAATAAAAATAAAAACAATGCCAATATATAGTTAGCAAAAACAACAAATAAATTCAAGTTGTAAATTTCAATTTTATTGATTTTTTGTTGTTTTTGCATCTACTATATGTATTATCTACTATAGGTAATTTTTGCATCTACTATATGTATATATGTGTATTTTACTAAAATACTTCTAAGCGGTTATTTATTTAAAAAATAATTTTTAATTGAATATTTTTCAAATGGATTTATCAATAAATAGCATTACAATATTTTTAACTTTCTTGTTCTCAGTTTGTTTCATCATAACTAATATGCATTAGTTGCAAAAGTTTTTAGTATGCAAGTACAAAAATTTTTAATAAAAATCGAAACATAGAATTCATAAATTTGTCTTCTGGCAGCGTGTAAAATAACGGCCAGTCAATGATCAATGACTGCCTGAAATGCAGAAATTGCTGTTTTGACCTCCCAAAATGAATACTTGCTGGTCATGGTTGACTGTTTAAAAAAAAAAAATCTAGGTTAAACAAATAATCATGACAAATAAGGTGTAATTTGGAAAATGCGTAAGCTAAAAATTTCATAAAATTATTAAAATTTTGAAAAAGTTTAAGAATTAGCTTTATGATTTTCTTCTATTTTATTACTTTAATAATATTATAAAATTGCTGTATTTAGCTAAAGAATATTTTTTTTTAAAAATGTATATACTCTTAGGTGTTTAGTACACGGAGACAAGGTGGCTGTGGCGTTTATTAGTTTTCTCAAATTTTTTCCACCACATCAAGCTTTTTAAGACCTTCTCAATTATTAAATTTTACTTTTTATTAACAAAAAAACAATATCTTAAAACTTAATAAAATATGATAAGAATTATCAGTCATAAAAATAAAAAACTTTTAGTGTAATCAGTACTTTAAAAAAAAGTCAATCTTTAAAAAATTTTGTAAATTTCAATTTGTCAATAATGAGTTTTTTGTTTATTTATCTTATTATTATGATGAATGCAGCTGTTAAAAAACGCGCATTTAATAACCACACTTGGGTTAAAATATTCTGTTTGTGTTCTGCAAAAAATTCCCACCCATCTTTTTTTTAAAATTTTCCTGTTTATTAGATATACTAAAATTCTTATTCCCCCCTCTCCATTTATAACCATTCTCCCTTTAAAGTTTGATATGCTTATTTTATTTTTTAAAATTATTGTATGTAACTTCAACATTGTTTTTTGCTATTATTTAATCTTTTAATTTTTTTTTTTTTTATGTTGGGTTTTATTTCTAAATAAAAGTTATTCAAAAAAATTATAAAGCAATTTTCCTAGCCCTTTTGCTTGCAAACTCATCAGTTATAACATAGTAATCAATTGTTCTGGCAGTATTGTATCAACAGTATTGCTAATCCTGAAAGTCTTTATTGTGACATTTTAGAAAGCAAATAATTTTTTAATTTTAGTTTTGAAAATGATCATTCACTATAAGCTACGGTAATAGTAATTTGTAAAATTATTCAATATATGATACATACAAAGGGATATAATTCTTCCAAAATCTATATAATAGTATAACCTTCTAAATATATCTCAAAATAGAAAGTTCATATTTGAAATCCACCTCTTCAAAATCATTTTCTAAGTATTTGACCAGATTTGAACAATTTGTATTGAACTCGTTTGTTTTTGTATTTTTTAGCTTTTTATTATTAAACCAAACTAGATTTAAATTATTATACTATTCAATTCATTCTTGCAATGAATCTTTTACTTTACCAATAAATTTATTAAAATCATATTGTTAAAAATTATCTTTAGTTGTTTGAGTTAGATGGTTATACTTGTCTTCAGTTTCAGATATTCGATCCGGTATATTAATATCATCACATTATTTAACTGTATCAATTTCTTCATCTATTTGTTTATTTTCTTCATTTGGTATATCATCAATATTGCCATAATTGTCATTTGCTTTATTTTTATGGCCTGTATAATAACAATAGTCTGCTAATCTCCTGAGTTTACTCTCCATTTTGGTAATGGTAAACTTGGTCCTTGTGATTTATTAAGACAATCTTTGTTTCTACTTGTTAATATTATAGTATTACAAGAAGTTATAGTGAATAAATGTTATAGTGCATTAAACTGCACTATAACATTTATTTCTGTGAAGCTTTGATTACCAAACAAATTCATAAAAATTTATTTGTTTTATTAAAAATGCAGCATGAGTTTTACAATCTGGGTGTCCATCTGGAACAAGAATTATTTCTTTTATCTGCTATCTACGGCTTTTATACTTTAAAAGAGATATTCCCATCAATTTTAGCTTAAAGTTTATGATTGTTGCCCCTAAAAACTAAATTTTGTTCACTTAAAAAAAAACGGCTGTTGAACATTTTGTTGATCTATTAATGTTTTCGATTTAATACTAAATGTGCTTTTAAATAAAATGTGGTTTTGGATATTTTGGGCTGCTTAAATATCTGAGGCACAGTGTAATTTCACAGTGGTTGCACTTTTTGCACTTGTGAAATTACAGGTCTGTAAAAACAAAATACAAACTTGTTAATTTTCATGCAATAAGTTATTTTTGTATTTATAAAGTTCAATAATGAAGAACTATTACTAAAATTAAAGTTTAAACAAAAAAAAAAATTTTAAATGTCAAAAAAAAGTATTTTTTAGTCAATTCTGTTTGTTAGCTCACATTCGATTTCTTATTTTTCACGCATGTGATTAGAGTAAAAATTTTTTTATCATTTACAAAAGATATTTATGTGTATAAAATCACATTTTTAAAACAATACTTAAAAGAGAAAAAAAAGTTTCATTTTATAGATATTTCCTGTACTTAATCACAATTTTGTCCATTACAATAGTCATGGTAACAATGTTTAATTTAAATAGTCATGGTAACAATGTGTAATTTAATTTTTTTTTATTAAAGCAGTATTGCAATGTTAACAAAAACATCACAACTGATGATTTTTTAATCTCTAGTGCTAAAAAATTAAAATGCAAATTTTTTTATGAGTATATTTTTTAAAATTATATAATTTTAATATAAAAAATTTTCAGACAAAAAGATTTATTAAAACAGTAAATAAACAAATCATTTGTTTGTTTACTGCTTGTTTGTTTTTTTGTTTTTTATTTAATTTTTTTGTTTGTTTTTTTAAACTTTTTTTAACTAGTTTGAAATATTTTTAATAGGTTATAATAACTTTTATGATGGATTAGATATAACTCATATCATGCATTAGATCATATTATTAGATAGATGTGGAGAGGTTAAGGCTGTTTTCAGCTCAAATGCCCCATCCAAGCAATCAAAGAGTGTTGGCTTCTTATCAAGACAAGAATAAATGTTAGCATCATCAGGAAACACTGCCACCTTAGAGAATTTCTGTGAAATCGTTAATGTAAATTTAAAAAAGTATATGGCCAAGTATAGAGCCTTGAGAAATCCCATAAGTTACAGGAAATGAAGAAAAGTGCTGTCGATTGATGACAAATTTTATACTACAATTGGTAAGAAGGATTCAATAATCTTAAAGATGTTACTTGATACACCGTTAGAAGAGAGCTTATGGAAAAGATAGTCATGCCAAACTTTATCAAAGGCTTTAGAAATGTCAAGAGTGATAACCTTAACGTCTCCACATCTAAGACACAATATAAACGATCAGTTATTACAATTAAAAAATGAGTTGTAAAACAAGAATATTGAAATCCATATTGATATTAGAAAGTAGGTTATTAGATTTAAAATGAGAGATTAAGTATTTGTTTATTAAAGACTCCAAAATTTTGTTTATGATAAGAAGAGTTTAATAAATAAAAAATTGAAGCAACGGAAGCTAATTTGATTTAAATGTCTAAAACCAGTTTAACTGGAAAGGCATGAGGAATATGGCTATTAGATTCAAGAATTAAATATTCTAATTCACTAAATTAGAAAAACGATTCTTTGCAAGTAGCTCTATCTTATTCTTGGGAGAGGTAATAATATCAAACCCATGAAATAAAGATAAAATGTTTAATGACACCATTAAAATGTTTAATGACACCATTAAAATGTTTAATGACACCATTAAAATGTTTAATGACACCATCAAAGGTTTTCCAAAAGTCTCTAGAGCCTATCTTTCGAGAAAATTTAGTAAACTAAGAATATTGGAGCTCATCATCCGACTTAGATCTTAGTTCTCAAAATTATTTATTTTTTTGAAAAAATGAAAAAAAAGGTTACAATTAGGTACAGCAGCAGCAAAAGAAGATGAAAATCAAGGTGTAGAACGAGGCTTCACTTGAAACCTACAAAAAGGAATAAATCCTTCTATATGTAGAAGAATTTATTCCTTCTATATACAAAAGAATTTATTCCTTCTATATATAGAAGTGAAAAATCCTTCTAAAAGCCTGTATCTAGGAGGCTAGGTAGGAGGACTTTTATTATCGAAGAGTCAAAAGACATCTTCTCAAGGACCATCGTGTATGAAATCTCAAAAAGAATCCCAGTCAGCCTTAGAGTTAATCCTTAATCTCTTAGATCAGTCTTAGAGTAGTATCAAGTAGTGCGATGATAGGCTGAGTCTGAAAAGATGTGCGAGATGAAAGATTTATAGAAACCATTGCATGGTTGGAAGCATATACAGGAGAGCAAAGAGAAACTGAACGCTAGAGTCAGATGGAAAAAACAAATTAAGTAGTGAATGTTAGGGTTGTCTGGAAAAAGAGTCACAAAATTAATTATCTGAGTGAAAGATTGGTAAATACAGATGTTATGGGCTTTAGTGCCAGCAGGGTCAGTGGTGTTAGTGCTAAGCCGTTTAGTGTGATGAGTATTTAAGTTATAATAACAACAGCATTGGCAGTCAGATAGAGAAGAGAAATGTTTAGTTGTTAATTTCATTAGGAATTACATATAGAAGAAGTTTTGAGAAGCAGGAGGACGATAACAATAAGGTTAAAAAGAAGGAGAACAATAAAGAAATAAGAGAAAGATGATTGAGTGAAGAGATGCTAAATATAAAAGAATGGTAAGAAGATTCAAACCTAATTTCTCAACAAATCAGTGAGTTGTTGCATAAGTATACACCCAAGTCGAGCATGTGACTATTGAAATTATTGTGAATCAAAGGATTTTAGCCATTAATACTAAAGAATCTAAAGAATAAACAGCTGAATAAAAACTAGTCTCACAAAGATTCTAGTAAATTTTGCAAAAGGTAAGATTCAAATGATGGAAAGTTACTTTGAAAACCACAAATAATTGTGAAAGATATATTGAAACAGTACAATGGTAGTGATGATTTTTTATGTTTAATAACTTTTGTTACCTTGGGTATAATTTAAAATAGAGTAAAGCATCCCAAGAAATAGCTATGCAGTTTTTTCTGTCTTGCTAATTAATCCAAAGTTGTAACTTAGGGTTTTTCATGTTGCCTCAATAATGCACACCAAAAGCACTAACAGTGACATGTGCAAAGTGGAACTGATAATACTCTGATATTTTACAGCTGTTGATAGAATCAGCTCTCTGAGAGCTACTACAGAGTTTGGGAAACCTTACTATTAGTCAACCCCAGCCTTTATTCAAGCAAGTGCCCGAAGGTAGGAAAATTTAAGTTAGAGTTTTTTTCTCCTAGTCTTTGCCTAGAAAAGCACATCCTTCAAGGCAGCAGGACATGGGACAGCACTGGGTTATATATATATATATAAATAAATATATATATATATATATATATATATATATATATATATATATATATATATATATATATATATATGTATATGTATATGTATATATATATATATAAATATATATATATATGTGTATATATATATATATATATATATATACATATATATATATATACATATATATATACATATATATATATATATATATATATATATATATATATATATATATATATATATATATATATATATATATAGATAGATATATATATATATATATATAGATATATATATATATATACATAAATATATGTGTGTATGTATATATATATATATATATATATATATATATATATATATATATATACATATATATATATATATATATATATATATATATATATATATATACATAAATATATGTGTGTATGTATATATATATATATATATATATATATATATATATATATATATATATATATATATATATATATATATATTTTATATATTATATTTCATTTTTAACTTCATCTATTTACAAAAACAATTAATTACAATAATATAACCAAATTTAAACCTTGCCGTAACCCTAACCCCAAGCCTGATCTAGATGCCTGGCTTAACCAAACCCTCAGTCGATGTAGCAGCACTCCCTTGTGAGTCAGGCTATGTATGTATACATATAAACATATATATATAAATATATAAATATATATATATATATATATATATATATATATATATATATATATATATATATATATATATATATATATATATATATATATATATATATAAGTAAAAATTGAAATTAAAAGACACTCTATAATAAACGGTAATGCGAAGTGACTTTTTTTTATAGAGGTAACAAGGGGAAACTAAATAAAGTTGTAACTCTAATGATATATGTTTAATTGTTTATCATTTAGAGATTAGAATTGCTAAGTCGCTTCAATGTGAAAGGTGGTCCAATATGCAACCCAGCATTAGTGATATTTCTGCTCAACAGAATGAAACTTGGTTAAAAAAACTGAAATCATGGAATAAATGGAAAGTTCAAGGTAAAGATTAATAGTAGCAATAGTAAAAACTAAGATTTAAATAAGCTTTCATACTTTCTAAATGATTTTTTATTAAAATATTTTCTTTAAATTATAAATACTGTGCGGCCACTGCATCAGAAAGAGTAGCATTTTTAAATTTAAAGTATGTAGATGTACTTTCAAGCAAATAGAAAACATAATCCAATTTAAAGTGTGTAATTTTATTTGCAGGTTACTATTTGGTAGTAAATAATTTTTAAAAGCTTCAAGTTTTAAATAATGAATACTTGCTATAAAAATATAACAAGGTTTTAAATGTAAAACCATTTATTTGCAACAACAGCAATATGCTTGCTAATAAATTTTTAAAATTTATTGGCTTTATTTTTTTTTTTTCTTAATTTATTATACTCTTGATTATTGTGCCAGATTGTAATTTTTTTTTATAAAGTTTTCCTATGTGCTTAGTACTCTAATTTACTGTTTTACTTTCTCATGTTTTCTGAGGTTGATAAAAGCTGCTTAGCATTCTAGCTATTGATTGTGGTACTGATCGACAAGTAAATTTGATGCTTATCACGTGTGATTTATGGGTTGGCATAGATAATGGCCATGTATAGTTATAGTATTTAAAATACTTAAGCGTTATAAGTATTATAGCCACATGTATGCTATACGTGGCTGCCACCTTAGTGGTATAAATACCTAAACCGCCCATAACTCATATTTACGCCGAATCGAGTGTGGCTATCGTTCAACGGTTCATGTGGCCTACATCAAATTTTATTATTAAGTGGACAAGGTCGATCGTGTGTTTTAGATAAATTACTGGAAGAATATGAAATAAATAGCTAATTACTTTGATTAGCAATATATTTCATTTTCTTGAGTACTTTTTTATTTAAAGATTACCAGAGTTGAAAACCGTGTTATGCAACTTGGTTTATTCAAATAATTGTTTCTTGGTTTATTCAAATAATTGATTTTAAGGAAAGCTATAAAAAAATGTCTAAATAACCTTTCTTGTATGTTAGTTGATTTTATAATAATAATCTGCAGATATTGTCATTTATAAAGCGTTTTGCAAGTAAAAAATAGGCTTAACTTGACTAAAATGTAAATTTATAAATGGTACATCTATCAGCAAATATAAATTTACTAATCGTCTGAAACATAATTTGATTGTCTACTTTTCGATTTTTTCATTTCAGCCGATCTATGGTGATCGCCAACATTTGAGTAATTATTTCGGGCGATGATTATTTTTCGCCATCTTTTTACTGGAACATCTCGTAGTTTGTTTGTTTTTTTGTTTTGTTTAATTTAAAAAAAAAAAAAGATTTTTATTAATATTACTTGGCTCGGTTACTTCTTTTCACTATCTTTCTACTTAAATATTTTGTGTTTTTTTAAAAACAAAAAAGATTTGTATAAATATTTGTTTTCTGGTATTGTGGTTTATCCTCCTCCGCTAACTACCATACAGAGGTCACATTACCACGGTCTTCAAAGACGAGTTCGGCTTACTAAAAAGACCCGCTTTGCAGATCAAGAGTAAGTGATTTTAAGAAGAACGAAAGAATTAGAGTCAGAAAAAGTAGAGTTATAAAGTTATAAAGAGAATACAGAAAGATATATTACTAGTTAGAATGTGCAATTCATATTATTAATTAGGTAACCTAATTAATAGTATGAATTGCACATTCTAACAGCTTGTGCTATAGCGCAAGCTGTTAGAATGTGTAATTCATACTATTAATTAGGTTACCTAATTAATGTATTCGTATAAACGCAGTTTATATAAGTATATACACTTGTTTAAACTGATTATAACCATTGCTTATTTTTATATTAACTGTATTAGTATTAGTTTTCTTAAAATCTAACTAGAAACGATAACTGTATCTAATATTATAAGAATAATTATAACGATAATTATCTGAACGTTGGAAAATGTTTAAAAGAGTTTTTAACATGTGTATTTTTTAAACATTTACTAATATATATTTTTTATAATTGATTAACTTATATACAGGATGTCAGCAATCGTTGAATGATGCTAGTTTGTTATTAAATCAAGATATTAAAAGTATAAGAAATGAAATTAAGCGTTTAAATGGTTATAAAAGTATGTTAGTTGATGGAATTGATTGCAATACTTACATTCAGCGTCAAGCTGGATTTCTTAAAGAATACATTTCCGTTTACTCCAAAATGACAATGTATGTTTCCATAAAAGCAGCTTTAAGCAACTTAAAATCCAGGATTGATTTAAAACTTAACAACTGTGCGCGTAGATCGTGTAAGATTATCTTTTTTATATCTTGTAATTATATAGTTTGTTGTTGATTTTTTGCATCTTTTTCCCTTATTAACGTCAATATTTATCTATGTATTTTTATATTTTCAGCATTATTTGGGGTTTATTCGAGTTTATCACAAGTGTAAATTATAATATAAACAGCTACTTGCGTTGTTCATTTATTTTTGGTCTCAATTTTTCCGCATATGGGCCACAAGAATCATCACGATATTTGGCGAAGTATTGTCATTTAACACCAGTTCAGTTCAAATTAGTTTTAATTTAAAATAGATATGTTTGGATTTTATATTTTACTAAGAACTCGTCAAACTCAATTGCCAAACCAAAAAACATTTTCTGCCGAGCAGACAAAGTTTTTTAACTGCTATTCTAAATTTACTTAAAAGATTTTTTCGAAAAGAAAATTATTCAAAAAAATAAAATGACGTGTTAAATAATTGGCGGATACCAAAGTTAAAACATGATTTAACAAACTAAATGCAACTTTAGCCGATATGTTCTATCACCATATGTCAGTGACGGATCCAGACGATCAAGTAAGGGGAGGAGATTTTTCAGCAACCCCACAAATTTTTTTAATATAATTTTTGTTTGAATATAACTCTTTTACTGTCATATTCTTATACTTATATATATATATATATATATATATATATATATATATATATATATATATATATATATATATATATATATATATATATATATATATATATATATAGACATGCGAGCTAAAAAAAATACTCCTAATTTTTCCAAGTATATGACAAATTTCATTTCAAAAAACGCAAATAGTTATCATAATGCAAACTGGCTATTGACACTGCAATTGTGATCAAGATTTGTAATTCAATGCGTAAGTTTGGAAGAACGTCATCTCCGTATGACAAAATAAATGAAAGTAAATCCAGCGGAGTTGTTGGTATTGGGCCCCCACGAAATTTAAGCAGAATCTGACAGTATACAATTTCAGTAAATAATTCTGCTCCACTGATATTTGTACTGTAAAAGTTTTCCAGATCCAAACAGTGTTGCAGCAAACTTTCTTGTTTTTCATCACTGTCCCTCTTAAGCAATATTCTCGCATCGAGCAAGAATCCAAATTTTTCATTGAGATCATTTAATCGTCTAAAACGAGTTGTTAGTTCTTGTTGAAAACAATCCAATATCATTTTCAAAACTCTGCCAACTTTATCTTCAGCAGAGTGGTGACACTCTTGCCAACTTTATCTTCAGCAAAGAGGTGATCTCCAGCCCTTTTACTTGACATTATTCGCCGTCGCGAATAATATCAGGTGACTCTCTGCTTAACTTCAATTCTATACATCTATCCTTGCTATACTCAATTGCATTTAAGCATAAATAATCACGAAATTCTTTGAGATAATTTTCCAACATTTCCATATCAGATGCTGCATCTTTAAAGCTAATTGTGGGATCATGTAGTCGTTTTTGGTCGCATATTCGTTGTTGAATCCTAGAGATATGTCCTGTCATCACAGCAGCGTTGTCGTAACATTGGGGTCTACAATTTGCCAGTTGTTGGTTGTCCGATTCAAGTTTCTCATTATTAACAGTTTCAAGAGTTGCTGCATTTTTGGCATGGATTTCAATGTATCCAATAAATGACTCTCTGATCACAACATTCTTGGTAATAAAATGAATGTCCACATATCTTATTACTTCGGATAATTGCTCTTGATGTCCCAGATCACGAGTCAAATCAAGTAAGATACCAAAATACTTACTTCTTTGGATACTGGTGAGGGGCTTATCTTTAACAGTACTGGCAAGTAGGTTAATGAACTTTTTGAATGTTTGGATGACAGATAAAAGACGGACCCTGGATTTTCTTTAGAATGCAGTAGATAGTTTGCAATAAGAAGATCATACTTAACAAGGAGTTTCCAAAGGGCAAGAAAGTTTCCAATACTGGCTCCTTCATCAGCAGTACTAATTTTTTCTCCATGACCACGTAAAGCCATGTTCTGAGAAGCAAGAACTTTAATACGAGAAAGAATTTTTTTAAAGACGTTTCGCCAGTGTTGCTTTTCAGATTAAATTTGGGCTTCGAGTTCTGAATCTATTCCTTTTCCATAAATTATTCTTCGTTCAGCTTCTTTTCATATAGTAAATTTGTGACGGTGACAGCGGCTATTCTCATGATCTTTTAATCGTTCTCCAGTTAGTGAATACACCAGCTGATTTATAGGAATGTTGTGAATAAATATTGTAATAAAATTTTTATTGGGATAGAACCTTCTCTATCAAATAAGATTCCAAATACGACAACTTCTTTTAATGATTTTCTCGTCCCTATGGATAATTGCATTTGTTCCGATGAGTTAACCTCAGAATTACCTTTTGAGAAATTTGAAGTAACTTTGAATTCCTTGAAAAGAAACAAAGCAACAGGAGCAGATGAAATTAATGGAAATGTAATTATAGACTGTTTCGATATACTAAAATATGTTTATTAAAATTTTTAAAGCTTCTTTACTTCCAGAACAATTAAAAGTTGCTAAAAATACTCTTTAGAGGGTGATAGATTGAATAGTAGCAACTATAGTCCCATATCTGTTCTTTCGGTATTTTTAAAAATTTTAGAAAAAATAATGTCTAATAGAATATACAAACATCTCAACAAAAATAACTTACCATATAACAAACAACTCGGCTTTAAAAAAGGTAACTCAACAGAGCATTCAACAATCCAGTTTGTGAATCTCGAAATCTTTTGAAAAATCACACCACCTGTTAGGTTTCTTCATTGACCTATCAAAAACTTTCGACACTGTAGATCATTATATTTTACTGCAAAAACTTAAATATTATGGAATTAAAGGTACGGTTCAGAAGCTACTTAACAAAAAGAAAAAATTTGTAATTAGTAACGATGGTTATCAAAATAATTATTTTGATTTCGTATGCGGTGTTCCTCATAGTTCAATCCTCGGACCCCTACTTTTCCTGATATATATAAATGATTTGAATAAAGCTTCCAACCTTATAAGTATCATGTACGCAGATGATACCAACTTATTCTTCTCAAGCAGTAATATATATGAACTTTTTACCACTATGAATAAAGAACTAAAACATATATCAAACTGGTTTAAATGTAAGGAGCTAATTTTAAATATTAATAAAACCAAATGGACTTTAAAATTTAATAAAACCAAATATTCCATTTGTATGCAAAAAAGCGATTATTACCAATAAACTTGCCATAACTTTAAATAGACGAAATTGAAATAAAAAATGATTCTGTTACTCACATCTTAGGCGTTTATCTCGATGAAAACATCTCCTGGAATCAACACATTAATTATGTTACTACTAAAATTTCAAAAAACATTGGGATTCTATATAAAGCTCGTAACTACCTTAATAAAAACTGCTGAAGCCAACTTTACTACTGTTTTATCCACAATTACATAAATTATGCTATTGGGTGGGTACTGTTAAAAGTAAATTAAAACTTCTTTATCGTCTTTAAAAATATGCGATCCGCATAATTAACTATGCTGATCGTTTCACATACAAAACCTATTTTTACTGAAATGAGATTATTTAATTTATTTGAAATCAATGTGGAGAAATAATTTATCCCCAACCGCTTTTAATAATATTTTTAAACTCAAACCTAACAACAAATACGATATGCGAAACATAAATTTTTTAAATGTACCGTTTTGTCACATAAAATTTAATCAATTTTGCATTGCTTATCGCAGACCCCACCTATAGAATAATATTGTTCTGCGAAATCTCGATCAACCAACTTCCTTTTATATTTTCAAGGTCTATCTTAAAATATGTATTTTTTCACTTGATAATATACTTAGATACTTCTAATATTTTGAAAATTTTTATTTGACTTTGGTTTTATTACTTTTTTATTTTTTTGTTTTACTTTATTTTTTGTATGTTATACTAGTCTTTATTTTGCTTGCTTGTATTATATAAGGTTCTGACGACAAGATCTTGTGATCTTCTTTCAGATAGCTTATGTTTAATTGTTAGCAATTTATATATGTGCGCATCTATACATCTGTAAGTGTATATATGCTTATACTTATATATGTGAGTGTTTTTCTTATTTTAATTATACTGGTATTGGAATTTTTTAAATTGCAACACCATATATACGGCATATAATTGTACTGTGACATTTTAAAATAATCGAAATTATTAAAAAGAAAAAAAATTTCTATTATAAATTACACGTTCAAAGAGTTTTGAAACAACAGAAAGTATTGACATAGGTTTATAGTTGGATATATCCGAATGTTCATTACATTTAAATATGCGGATTACTTTTGCTAATTTAAGGACATCAGGAAAATCCCAGATGTTATTGAGAGCTTAAGTATATCGATCAGAGGTCTGCTTAGACTAGTTTTATTAAAGATAACTAAATCACTAATTCTTTCATCAAATCCTGATGCTTTCTTTTTTTTTAAAGAGAAAAAGGCTTCAAATTCTTTATAGTTGAATTCCTTATCGTAAATGATGGCGTTATTTGTAGGAATTAGGTAAAGTTTAAATTAATCAGATGTTGGACTTATTTTATAAGCAAGATTAGGACCAATATTTATAAAATATTTGTTAAATTCTTCAGATATTTGTTTTTTACAGAATATGTCTGTATTTTTAATATTAATTCTTTTTAATAAAGAAGTTAAATTTATTTTTTTCTTTCCATTATCTCAATAATGATGGACCACGTTTTCTTACTATTAAATTTGCATTTAATGATTTCATTACTGTAGTATTTGTTTTTAGCTTTTTTAATAAGATTTTGGTAAAAACTTTTATAGTTTTTGTAATTTATCTCATGAGTTTGCAATCAAAAAGGTCCATTCTTGTTTTGATTCTTGTTTTGAAATAAATGAGATCCGCTAGCTATGATCTCAGTTCTAAGACTTTGCGGCATGACAGGTTGCAGTGTTTTTTTGTCAAATTTCAAAAAGCCGATATCAAGAAATGACAATACAACAGGAAAAAGAAGATCTTCAATCATTTCTTCATTTATACTGTCACTGTCATTATTAGGATCCGGGTCACGGGTATCTTCACCTCCTTGGTCCATTGAGTCTTATTTATTTTTGGCAAACAATTGGTAACTGCCTTCATCTATGCTATCAGCTTCAGATTCTGATTCACTTTCTGCATCATCTGTTTCTCATCATTTTTTTTATTTATTTACTATTTAGGTCCCCGAAGAAGTCCTAACGGTCTTGTCACAGAGCACCGTGGAAGTGTATTTAACCGTAAAGGTTCACGTCTCCTTCTTGACTGAGACGCGAAATATGTCCAAACCTCGTTTTGAACCTTGATCTCCTGCTTAAAAAACAAACGCTCTAACTATTGCGCTATGGTCACAAATGATTTTTTTCTTTTCTTTTTTTTGACGCTGAGCCCCTCTTAGTTTGTGTTTTGTCTGAATTCGAAAAATAAGATTTTGATGATTAGGATTAGTTTCTCTACTTAAATATTATGAAATTATAATTTGTAGATTTTAAAATTGTTGTAAATTAAAGGCTGAACTCGTTCTCAGAGTCGAACTCGTTTACATTTGTCATACATTGATGGTCTTAACTGCTTTAAAC